GATTGTGTCTAATGAAGTCAGCCCATTAATGCAATGACTTCCACCTGTGCGATGGGACTTCCCTCCCCCAATTTGTGCTTGGGCTCACTCAACCCTTGGGAGATTGGTGGTGTATGCAAGGAGGCATTCCCATTGCACAGATAAATGTTCTTTCACTAACAGAAAGATACCACTGGATACAGTGGTTGATTGATCGGCTAGCATTAGAGGTGTTTTATGTTCTGTTGCCTGATATCAGCACTTGAGTTCCTATTGGACCCTGTGAATCCCAAGGCTCAGGTGTATAAATGTAACTTGAGAGTTTGCTTACCCTAAGATAACTTACATTAGGTTTTTTAAAGGCAGATACCCTTGCCCAGTCCTCCTTAATTAATTTGTAACCACTACTGCACTGTGGCTCCAGACTTGCAATCATTAATATTATCTAGAATACTGTAACACAGCATTCTGTGTATTCCAAATGACAGAAGGGGCAGATAACTGAATGTGATTACTAAGACGCAGCATGGGTTTCTCAAAAACAAGTCATGCCAGACAAATCTCATGTCTTTCTTTTTTGATAGAGTTACAAACTTAGTGTATCTTGATTTCAGTAAGGCTTTTGACAAAGTCCCCCATGATATTATTGTGGAGAACTGGCAAAGTGTGAGCTGGATGAGGTAGCTGATAGGTTACCACAGCCAAAGAGGATTCACTAATGGTTCCTTGTCATCCTGGAAAAAAGTGACAAGTGGGGTGCTGCAGGGTTCTGCCCTGGGCCCATTGTTATTCAGTGCCTTTATAAACAACTTGGATGAAGGAACTGAGGGGATGCTCATCAAATTTGCAATGACACCAAACTGGGAGGCAACTGCACCTCAAGGTGCACGTCATGCACAGTAATTTAAACGCCAGCATTTAATATTGTGAAAGGCACCTGGGGAGCAGGTGATTTTTAGTGGGGAAGGGGACAAGGGGAGGGCTGCTTCACCCATTCCTCACCTGCAGCCTGTCTGCTAGTCATCTTGTCCATGCCCCCCCTCAATCATAGTCAGAGACTGTCAGTGCACAACCAATCTCTGTTCTTTTCATTTCTCTGTGTGTTCTAGAAGACCAGGGGGGAGACAAGCTGGTTGCAGCAAGAGGGGGAGACTCCCTAGCTTCTTCAGCAGCCTGCCTCATGGCCCCTCTCCTCTTGCTTCTCTTTGCTTCCCCAGATGTATCTGCCAAGGTACATCTGAATGCACCTGAGAAAAGCAGCAGGTAAGTAACGCTCTCCCACCCTTTGCTGAAGAATCCTGCACCCCACAACAAAGCATCAAGTCTCAAAAACCCTATTAAAAACCCTGGTTTTATTTCAACGCTGCCATTGTATCCCGGCTGTGCTAATTCAATATGCTTCAATATGCTGTAATTATGCTCAAAGAGAAAAGCTGACTTCCTTCCTTCTTCTGCTGGTAAAGCCCTCGCTGGAGGGACTTCCGCTTCCCGCCGCACCTGTGCTGGATTCTATCCTCTCGCCTGGCCTCAGAGCCCACCCTCTTCCAGCTCTGCAGGAACAGATGGAACAATCATTGCACTCATTCCACAGTTTGCCCCCCTGCTGCTGCCTGTAAGCCTTCTGCAGTTGTAATACACATAATTAGGCAAGTCAATGGCCAGTGCAGCAGATTAGAGGGCGGAGCTGCAGCCAGCAAAGCAGGCAGGCCAATTTATCTACTGTAGTGAATGGGACAGTTTCCTCTCAAATTACTGGGGGGGAGGGGGGAGTGTGGACAGGAGGCAGAAACCAATTATGCCACTCTTAAGCAGGGGCAGGAGGGTGTCTTTCTCCAGCCTTGGCCACTGCCAAGGAAATATTTAAGAGTGGAATTTATGGGATTAGTTCCTCGCTTGGCTCACCGGTGATTTATGCTTACAAGTCCCATTAACATTTATGACTCACTCACTGGAACCGTCTTGCTGCTCCTGCGTAATTAGATGGCACGTTGTTCCGTCTTATCCCGGTTTCAGGTTGAACTGCACAGCTCCTGCCTTCCTGGGGGCAACATCAGCCTTACCAGGAAGGCTACGTCTTGGAGTTAATGCACGCGCAAGAATTGCAGCATCAAGAGCAGTGGCTTGCTTGGCTGAAACACAATGGCCCAGAACACACAAAAGGGCAGCCTGACATCCTCTCAAATGCAGTGCTTTTCAATATTCCATGGTTCAGTGCTTCTCAATGGGGTTCACACGTCCAGACACTGGTGTCACAGGCTGTGACACCAGCCAGGAGATGATGGGAATAGCTGGATCTGACAGAGGAAGAGGAGGAGGAGGACCCTGGCACTGGAGGTGGGGAAAGTTCAGGCAGTGATGGCGAACAGGGCTATGCCCCACTGATGCCAGACGTTCTGGCGAGGGAGGAGTTGGTTGAGTCAGTCCCTACCCCACCTCCAGAGAACGAGCTTCGAGGAGTAGCCGAAGAGCTGGCTGGCCAATCAGTGGAGCCAGCTGAACTGGGGATGGAGGGGTGGGATCAGGTCCCATTGCCAAGGACACACCTGTGCCAGCGCAAACCAACCCAGAACTCTCCCCCCCCAAATCCCCATAGAAGTGCTTTCTTGCAAGCTCAGTCTTCTTGCCAAGTATCCTAGAATTCTGCTTATGGACTTTTGAGCCATGTATCCTCTATTCTGAGCTGATGCTGAGACTGTGTGCTGACTTCTTAATAATTTTATAACAATACGTTTATTATTTGGGCCCCACCCATCTGATTGGGCTGCCCCTGGCACTTTGAGCTCTTGGTGTTTCCTGGAGTCCAAGTGTAGAAGCCGGGACAGCCAAGGCCTTAAGCTGTAAATCATTGGATGATGTACACCCATCTCCTTTTCTGCACGGCTGCAATTTTGCTGCTGCTGTGAATGTGTCTCTCCTTTCTTTCTGCAAAGCTGTGAAACCTACAGTCCTGGAGGGTCCGGGGGTCAATGTCTATACAGCAAGACAGACAAGAGCAATATTAAATAATAGATCATAATATACTAGGCTAAAATTGGTGAAGTGGGTGAATGGTGCTAGGAAAGAAATCCAAAGCTCAGTAGGGCTTCCACAGAGCAGAGTGCGTTCTATGATGCACTGTGAAATTCCAAAGGTTCCGGCTGTGATGCTTTCCTGCTTCCAGTGTCCATCTCTGTGCCCCAACAAAAATATAAGCACCCATCCACAGCAGGTGTACACACACACACACACACACACACACAAATATATCGGCAAGAGGTTTTGAAGCTTTGCAGATCTCTTATTCTCTCTCCCAGCCCCAGTTCCTATGGCCATGAGAACTCTGTGGGAGAATAAAAATGTGGGGCGAGTATTGTGGTTGTGAAAAGGTGTTTTCCTAAAATCAGGGACATGCACTCGGGACTAGGGAAATGAGGAAAGTAGAAAGCAATCAGCTTCTTTCAGATAGCAGAGAATTGGGGTTGGGTTGGGGAGAAGCATGCTCAGTATTCTGGAAACTACATTAGCTGAAGGTCATATAAATAGTGGTGTTTTTGCATAGCTCCAATACGAGCACAAAGGATGCTTGGCAGAAATGTCAGTCCTGTAATATTAGAATTTCCTGTTTTGGAGGTGCCATGACAAAACCGCAAGTCGCTCTCTCACATTTTGAAATGGAAGCTGCCTGGAAGTCCAGCACCCACCTAAGATAGGCCGTTGTCTGAAATGGAGCCCAGATGGTACATAGCCCCTTGCTAATGTCTTAAATGTTTTACAGACACCAGGTCCTGACTTCACCTACTCTCCTCTCATGGGGCCACTTGCTGAGTGCCAGAGCGGATTCTGATCAGTTTCTTGTTAGATTTGTGTCTTGCCTCTTCTTTCCTACTGTGACTAAAGGCTTCGCTTATAATGGCTGAATTTAACTGAATGCTCACATGGATGTGCAAATGGCATAAAAATGACATTTTAATATTTTAACGTTTCAATATTTTAATGTTGTGTTTTAATTTTGTTTTTAAGTTGTAATCATTCAACTTGTTTTTATTAGTGCTTGTAAGCTGCTCTGAGCCCGGCCTTGGCTGGGGAGGACGGGGTATAAATAAAAATTATTATTATTATAAAAATATATGTTACTGCAGGTTACTGCCTGCAGTATGATGGTTACTGCCATCATGTGACACAGTATTACCCTTAAGGTCTTCCCCTGGCACCAACAATTATTATTATTTATTGAATAGCATTGAATACCGCCCTATACCCAGAGGTCTTAACAAAGCCTCTGAGTCCTCTTGCACACTGCCTACTGGTTGTGAGATGGTGAACGTGGCTACCCTTTCCTCCCTGGAAAAGTACATAGAGCTGAAGCTGGGAGTTACAAGAGCGACTCTCTTCCCCCACTTCAGCTCTATATGTTTTTCAAGGCCCGTATTAATACTAGTGGATCCAATTTTTACCTACATCCCCTGCAAAAGCAACATGTGCGTGCTTTCTTTCTGTCTCTCGGGGGGTGGGGGTCCAGGAGAGGAGAGTAGTACCAGAGGAGATCATATCTGCAGTACTTGCTCAAAAATCCAAAGGTGCCCAAAGGCCTGTGTTGGTGACTGCAAAACTGAAAGACAAGCTTTCAACATAGTGTGAGATTTCAAACAATGAGCGGTGGCTTTTTAAAAAAATTAGGCATCCACTGGTGTCTGAGGCTTAAACAGTCATTACCATCATATTTTCTAGCTATTGGTTGGAATGGGCAAAAAATGTTTGTTGCACGTTGACTCTCACAAGCTTCTGGGCTCCTCTAGATACATCTTACGGGGGCTTAGGTTAATTTCTCCTGCTTAAGAGTAGTACAACCTACAGGTTAGTTAACTTTAGATTATTACAGACATTTAAGTTTTTACAATAGCCCCTGACCTATGCATAGTAAGGTTTAATGAGCTTATAATATACCGTACTACAAATCCCAGACAGCCCAAAGAAAAACTTGATGTGAATATCCCAACTCAGTCAAGTTCCAAAATAAATTTTGAACATTGCTTTATACCAAGTAAGACCATTGATCCATCTAGGATTGAAACTGGGACCTTCTGATTGCAAAGCAGATGTTCTCCCTCTGAACTATGGCCCCTAACCACCCAGGCACAGCATTGGCTCTCTGACCACTGAATTATCAGCTGAATTCTATGAACCATGAGGGGAGATCTGCTTGTCCAATGTGGGATTTTCTGTCTCCTCCTTCCTACTGCAGCCTCCTCAAAGCTGCTTCCTAGGGTTTTGGAATCCCTCCAGAACTTCACCGGATGCAGCACAGGGAGTTGCCACTGGGTGATTTGGGGAGAAATGGTCAGAAATCAGATTGTTGGATCCAATTCATTCAAAGAACTGCAACAATTCTAAGAAAGAGCTACTGTCAACCACAGCAACCCAGTGCAACACAAAAGTACTTCCCCATGTTATTCCATGGAGCACTCCCAACCCTGCATGATGTGGGTGGGGAAACAGTCTAGGGCATGGATAGGCAAACTAAGGCCTGGGGACCTGATCCAGCCCAATCGCCTTCTAAATCTGGCCCACGGACGGTCTGGGAATCAGCGTGTTTTTCCATGAGTAGAATATGTGCTTTTATTTAAAATGAATCTCTGGGTTATTTGTGGGGCATAGGAATTTGTTCATCCCCCCCCCCAATATAGTCCAGCCCACCACATGGTCTGAGGGACAGTGGACCAGCCCACAGCTGAAAAAGTTTGCTGACCCCTGGTCTAGGGTGCTCACACGCACAATGTTTCCATGAATATGTGGAGAGGAAGCAAGCACCCCACAACATCCACATGTGAAGTTTGAAAAGGGCAGTCTATGCATGTTTCAGACAGTGTGCCAAAGGTGTATACTATTTTGCAGACACATAACCCAAACTTTTCCTGGTGCAAATTCCTTTTCCTTCTGACAGCAAAGCATCCAGCTAATGACACAATTCCACATTCGTTCCACTCTCCTGTCTTATCTTTTCGCTGCTCTAGAGAGCCTTCTGCCTTATCTCAGAAACAAATGGCGTCCAGGACAGCTTTAAGCAGCAGAGCCATTTATCTGCCTGACATGTGTTTCCCTGTTTGTTTTCTCTAGCCTTGAGACACCAGCTTTGACAATATTTAGCTGTGTCAACTGTGGCAGGCTGCTGAGCCCACTCATTCCAGAGGTATGAATCAAGTTCTTTGGTACATTCATCATATACTGGAGTAAATAGAGGCTCATCAGTGCTTCCTTCATCTGATATGAAATGAACTCTACATATCTTTCAGGGAGAGGAGTCAAAGGTGGGAAGTTGTATTTTTTAAAATAAAAGATAAAGCTTTGGCCAATCTACAGCATTACCCTTCAAGAGTTACCAGGCAGAGAACTTTTCTCAGTTCTGTCATGAACACACTGAGCACATTTAGTGAAAAACCTGTTATAATAATAATAATAAAAATAATTTATTATTTATACCCTGCCCATCTGGCTCAGTTTCCCCAGCCACTCTGGGTGGCTCCCAATCAAGTGTTAAAAACAGTACAGCATTAAATATTAAAAACTTCCCTGAACAGGGCTTCAGATGTCTTTTAAAGATAGGATAGCTGCTTATTTCCTTCACATCTGAAGGGAGGGGGTTCCACAGGGTGGGTGCCACTACCAAGAAGGCCCTCTGTCTGGTTCGGTGTAACCTCACTTCTCGCAATGAGGGAACCGCCAGAAGGCCCTCGGCACTGGATCTCAGTGTCCGGGCTGAACGATGGAGGTGGAGACGCTCCTTCAGGTATACATGTTGATTAACATGTTGATAATCAGAATACTGAAAACAAGTGTTCTGTTGATCCCCTTCATGGATCACTGCCTTGCCATGGTGAAGGGGCTTGAATAACTCAGAGAAGCTATGAGCTATGCCATGCAGGGCCACCCAAGATGGACAGGTCATAGTGGAGAGTTTTGACCAAACGTGATCCACCTGGAGCAGGAACCGGCAAGCCACTCCAGTATCCCTGCCAAGAAAACTCCATGGACAAAGGCAACGACAGTGTTCTCGGAGCTACAAACATGAGTTTGACCAAACTGCAGGAGGCAGTGGAAGACAGGAGTGCCTGGCGTGCTCTGGTCCATGGGGTCACGAAGAGTCAGACAAGACTAAACGACTAAACAACAACAAATCAGAATACTGAAAATAAGTGTTCTGTTTACATTGTGTCACACTGATATACAGATGCTAAGATATCGTCCTTTTGAGGATTCATTAATTTGATCCTTTTGGGGACTTCCTGTTCAGTCTGACCAATTTTTTTTCTATTTTCTGCTCAGATCAAGCAGGTATGTGAACTAATTATGTGAATCAGCTAACATGTACACAGATCACCAACCAGGGCTAAGACAAACTGTACCATTTTTTTTGCTTCAGGTAGATAATTGACAGTTTACAACATTCAAGCCAGGCAAGGAATGGGAAACCTCCAATTAAAATTAACCCACAGCATTCTGAAGTGGCTAACCACACTCCCCGAAAGTTTTTTTTTAATGCAAATTGGAAAACATTCATTTATTTAAATGTTTATTTGGTCACCTCATCACTTAGGTTTGGGGTAAAGAGCTATGAAATAAAGAATGGTATCAACCATCAGTTAGCATTTATTAACATGAGGCAGAAGCCCTAACCACTGACTTAACCTGGGCTCCTAAACAACATCTCAAAGAGAAAAGCTCTTGCAATGTTTGCAAAAGATGCTGAGGTTCTGAAAAGCCTTCAGTTGGACAGAGTTCCAAGTAAAGGAAAAACCTCTCCAAATAAGCTTTGCTGTTAGAATATGGACAGCATGGTTAAAATAGGTCCAGTTACTGTAACGGGACACACAGAAGGCGGTCACTTTCCATAAGTAACGGAACAGAGCGGCTTCACACTTCAAACACAGGTTGCAGCAGAGCTGGCTTCTTCACAAAGCAGAATGAAGAGGAGATGCAGCAGGAAGACACAGGTTTAGGTGCGTGCATCCTCCTTCAAAGTTTACAAGTTTTACTAAGGTAAACAACAGAGGAACATACTGTAATGCGTCAGCTATAGAAAGTATGCAGCTGTCCGAAGTGTATATATGAATTTGAGTACCTGAATGGATATGATTTATCTATCGTAGGAGAAGTGATCTAAAATAGCACTATCCCTCCCTCACAAAGCAAAGCATGGGGAATGACAGTGTGAGGAAGATGCGTGAGGGGGTCCCTTTTCATTTAACCAATTTATACACTGCTTACGAGTGCAAATACAAAAGTGCAACAGCTTTCAAAGTGCGACAGTTAAAGCACTGGGAGAGAGGGTGGCTGGCTGACCATAAAATAATAATAATAAAAAAATACAGATGACTGAACTCAAAACACATCTGCAATAGAATACTGTAGCCACCGTTTTGGAAACAGTTGGGCCTTTTCCCTTGTTGGCTTTGGCTGGTGAAAGCACCACAGCCAACCTTGCTTGTTCATTTGGTAGTATAAAGATGGCTGAACAGAACAGGGGCTATAGCAGGGCAGGAACAGATATCTGCAAGATTAGAATGCCGGGAACAAAAAGATCAGGAACACAGACTTCCCAATGGTGGGGAGAGGAGGCAAATGTGAGGCAGTGACTTCTAGCTGCTGGTGGGGTGTAGCGAGGCATTTCCTCTTTCTTAACAACGTCAGAAGGTTGAAACACATGCTACAGGCATCCTGTGAGTGCCACTGAAAGCTGCATCCCCACACAGAGGTTCCTCCCTTTCCTCTCACAACATTTAGAAACACTTGACTGTGTTGTAACATCACCGCAGTCTTGTCCTGCTCCACATAGTTGGCTGCCACCGACAGGGGCAGGAGGAATGCGTGCGATGATTCACGGCACAGGGTTACATGCTTGTCATTGTTGTGGGGGAACACACCTGACAGTGGGTGCCATTTTCAGAGGCAACCTTATGTCACGCATCACCCAGGCTGAATTGAAGGGTATCACTGCACACTAGTTCTTGCATTCCATGTATTCCCAACACTTAAAGGGGAAGCGGGATTTTATCTCCGCTTACTGAAATTTCCTGAGCCTTTGGTGGGCAGGGCAGAGAGAAGAGAAGGCGGAGAGCTCAAGCTCCAACTCTGCCAGAATGAAGCTAGAATGGAGTAACCTACACAGGAGGCAAGACAATGCTTTGGACAGAATAAAGAGATTGCTTTCACAAACACAGAAGCTGTCAGTTCTCAGAGAGAAACAGAGCTGTTCTGAGAACAGAACAGGCAGGCACCCTTCCCCAGCTGGCAGCCACAAAACAGAAGTGCAAGTGTGAAGAATGGAACACTATAAACTTTTGCAATATAGGTTTCTTTGGAGCGCTGCAGTGTTGGGATGTATGTATCATATACACAGACACGTACTTCTTTTCAAATCTGCACAACAAATCAAGCATGTGAAAATGTGCTGGCATAGTCTGGAGAATTTATTCTGCCTCTGCCCACCACTGTGGCAACATATTGTCAAAGAAAGGAATTCAGTGGAATTCGGGATGCCGAGTTCAAGAGATGTGCATTCCATTCGGACAGGGATGCAGAAGACACATACAGCTCTGCCTACAGTTAGTTAATGAAGCTTAGCTACCCAAGAGCGAAGCAAGAGGATAAGTTGGTAGTTCAGGCAAAAGTCTAAAAGGCAGAAAAACACAATATATACTCAGCTCTGTCGTTGAACGGTGGTGCATCTTTTGGTGAGCCACTGTTAAGAGTTACAGCTAAAAATAATGTTTTGTTCCTTTTGGACCAGCACCAACCACTAAACCCACCTTTCCTCCATCCCAATCACGTATTAGCAGCGCAGCTGGAGTACAGATAACTTGAAATCAGTTGTTCATACTTAAAAGGTTAAATATATTCTGACCATGTACATGTTCAAAAAAGAAAGAAAAAACACCATACACAGCCATGTATCGCAGATTGATTTTTTTAAAAAAACAAAAGATGAGAGCAATCCTATGCACTCTTACCTGGCAATAAGTCCCAAAAAGTTGTGAGAAAGTACAGGATCAGGCAGCACTGGCATTGACGATATCGCACATGCAACTACTACGGAAGCACATCTTATTAGATGCGAGTGCCTGTGATGACCAAGCCTACTGCTAGGTGCTGTACAATGGACACTTCAAAATGGTTAAATTGAAATAAGGAGGACAGTAATATCCCGAGTGGAAAATTTAGGAGCTAGGAAACCATGATAATGAAATACAACATTTAAATATAGATTTGATCTATAAGCAATCTGCAGAATACAAATCAGAAAGCTTCATTGATGTTTGATCATACCTTTTGTAATACTACTAACCTTGAATGATGCCACTTCAAAACTAACTCCAGAGACTAGGCAGTCTTGTTTTATTTGCATGCATCACTGGTATTTGACAGAGGAATATTTGCTGAAGTGGCCTTTGGTTGTTAAAATGAACCACAACAGCTAGCGCTGCAAAAACCCACAACCCCCGTAGCCCACCCCGTCCACATTTCCTTAAGAAGCTTCATTTGTGCTGCCAAGAAGCAGAAGAGCGCTGGGCTTTGGAGTCACCTCTAAGAAATGTCTGTTTCCATTACGATCCGGCGAAAGTCCTTGAGGCTGAGCCGTGCAGCTTGTTCCTGTCTCTTCTGAAGTGCTGCTGCTGCTGCTGCCACTTACAGAAGGCGAACCTTTAGGCTGCTCCGTAAGCCTAATTGCCGCCTGCATTTGCTTCCCTAATTCCTCTATCAGTTTCCCAGGAACAGATGTAGATTGCAAAGGAGCCTTTGATTTTCCACTACTAGCATCTAGCGTCAAAGTGCCTATGTCTCGCCTTAATCCATTACAGTCAATAAGCAGGGCTGTCCTCTCCTCTTGGAGTGTGCTTTGTAAAGGATTTATTTCCCCATCTTCGCTGGCTGAGGACTCTTGTTCATCTGAATCGGAGTCTCCTGTCTCATATGATGAAGTGCTGCTTGAGTCTTCAGAGTCACTCGCAGCAGCTCCTTCGGAGGGAGGCAGCTGCGGCTTGGAGACGTCTGTGCCAGCAGCTTTTAACTCCTTTTCTTCCTCTTGCACGAGAAGGGCCGCTGCTTCCAGCTCGTCAAGCTCGAAACCTAATTTGGCCTTGCTCAGCTCTGCTTTCCGCACGCGTTCGGCAAGGGCTGCCAACTTCTTTGACCTTTAAAAGGAGGAGAGAGAAAGAGAGAGAGAGAGCGCGCATACATTTTGGTTACACTCTGTGCGGCTGACAGATACAAAGATTATCAAAACCAACAAACCTCAATGATGACAAAACTGTAACTGGGGTTGCCCAAATTCCCAGAACATGCAGAAACTCACTATGCATTCCATTTAACTCTTTCCAGACCCTCAGCACCACATTATGAAAGAACAATTCTATCTGAAGATTTGATTAGCTGATATCCCTCAAGTCATTGGGACAACATGTAGCTGTACATCTCTCTAGCCTAGAGTAAAGTGCAAAAGTTATGTCAAAAGATGGAACAGAAGGAAATAGCAGAAGGAAGTAATCTTCTCTTTAAGTTGAGTTCCTACCACTATCAAAACTGGTATCAAGCCTAATACCATACCGGGGGGGGGGGGCACACTTTTAATCTGCAAGTGTGTATGTCGCTAATGACTAGGGCTTGGAAACAAATATCTGTGGGCTCTATTTTTAATTGGATAGGAAAATGTGTCCCATACCTTCTCGTGCTTGTATTACACTGGTCAACAACAAATTTGTTGTCTGCGTTTTTTCAGTTGATTTAGGACGAATCTGATGCGCTGAATCAAAAAATCACATCGGTTTTGCTCAATCAGGTCAAGTTTTTGAGCTATGGCCACATGTCTTTTTTTACGTTTTTGTTCACATGTACTCTTGTGTGGAGCATTTTAGAAGAAGTTGGTGGGGGTAAAATGCCATGTCGAATAATTGTTTTGATTGGAAATGATTATTTTAATGACAAGAAGTATTCAGGTCCGATAGTTCTGGGTGATTATGTCGAAAAGGGATCAGTTTGAAGTCATAAAACCTCGAAATCTTCCATAAATTGGTGTGGCAAAGCATAAAGTTGGGGGATCAAAACTAAGTTAATGGGGCAGCCGCCCCACGAAGTATCCTGCTCTTCAATCAGCACATCTCCTGTAGCTTATTGTGATGAAATTCCAGTGCCTATCTTCGGAGAACTTCCTGACATTAGTGACGAAGATGCTACCAGTGTTGAAGGACATGAAGAAGAAGAAGTGGTTCTTGAAGATGATGCTCCACGTCCATTTTCCCCAAAGGAGTTGAATGATCTAGTTCGCGACCTCAGCTTGTCAAAGGACTCTGCCGAACTGTTGGCATCCAGATTGAAGGAAAAAAACCTCCTCTCTGACAGTGCTCGCATCAGCTTCTTCCGCAACAGGCATCAAGAGTACCTCCGTTTTTCTCGGAAGAGAAGGACTTGGTGTACTGTGCAGGTATTGCGCAGCTTCTGCTCAAGCTTGGAGTGCCACAGTACGAACCCAAAGATTGGAGATTGGTCATTGACAGCAGCAAGCGATCACTGAAATGTGTTCTGCTACACAACGGCAACCAGTTTGCCTCTATACCCCTGGCTCACTCGAGTACACTGAAGGAGAACTATGAAGCGGTGAAGTATGCGCTGGAGAAAATTGGTTATGATCAGCATAAGTGGTTTATTTGTGTTGACCTGAAGATGGTGAACTTTTTGTTGGGACAACAGTCTGGCTTCACCAAGTACCCATGTTTTCTGTGCATGTGGGATAGTAGGGACCGTGCTCAGCATTACACGAAGAAGGACTGGCCTATGTGGGAGGAATTGGTGCCTTGCAAAGAAAGGAACGTCATCAACGACCCTCTGGTGGACAGAGACAGAATACTCTTCCCACCGCTGCACATCAAGCTCGGCTTAATCAAGCAGTTCACCAAGGCTCTGGACAAGGATGGTGACTGCTTCACTTACTTGTGCCAGGCTTTTCCAGGATTGACCATGGAGAAGTTGAAAGCTGGCATCTTTGACGGTCCTCAGATCCGTCAGCTCATCAGAGATCCAGAGTTCGGAAACTCAATGAACAAAGTGGAACTGGAAGCGTGGAAGGCATTTGTTCTGGTAGTGAAGAACTTTCTTGGCAACAATAAGGCCAGAAACTATGCAGAACTTGTCAACAACATGCTGACTGCTTTCAGAAACCTGGGCTGCAACATGAGCATCAAGATGCACTACCTATTTTCACATATGGACCGGTTTCCTGAGAACCTGGGTTCAATGAGTGACGAGCAGGGGGAGAGATTCCATCAGGACATGAAAGAGATGGAGACCAGGTATCAGGGTTGCTGGGACGCAGTCATGATGGCTGACTACTGTTGGACTCTGAAGAGAGACCTCCCTGCTGCTGAGCATTCCAGGAGTTCAAGCCCTGAAGTTCAAGCCCTGAAGTTTGAAAAATGGTGAAGCAACATGCAATTTACGTGTACTTACCTTTATCAATGCCCACCATTCAGTTTACAGTAAACCTGACCTGATGGAGAGAAACGGGTGCCATTTCCTGATTCAGCAGTGCAAAAATACCCTAAATCAGTTGTAGAAATCTAGACAACATTCAAAAAGTAAAAAATTGTTGCCCAGTGTTATCTATACGAGAAAGATGACAACCTGGTCTCTTTTTACCACCACCGCCTATGATACGATAAGGCAACCCGGTCAAGTTCTGTGGTAAACCTCATGCAAATAAATCACAATAAGCAATAATTTGTACAGCCTGGTGAATGGTTTTGTTCCCCTCGGTTAGGAGTTTGCAAAAGGGGGAGTCTGAAAGGTAAATTCTCACTGCTCCAATAGGCTGCATTTGACACAGCAAGTTTCAAAGGTTGCAACAGAATCTCAACTATACGCTCCGAGACACTATAAGGTAACAGATGTTGGTGTTTACATAACTTGTTGTTAATGAATCAAACAGTAACTCAAGAAATGGTAATAAATATTACAAGAACACTTTCACTGCAATAGCGCTACTGAACTGTCCGAAGCCACTAATATGGGAAGTCTCCAAAGCCACTAATAAGAGTTAATACTGTTAAATTAAGAATTAGGAGCTGCCTGCCCACCTCTATGGACACAGTGATTAGCATCCTTTTCAGTGCGCAGATCAGTGGCATGAAACAAGTGCATGTTTGTGTGGGATGAGCTGTGTGTGTAAGAAAGCGGGACAATGTGTCAGAACAGTTTAACCCTGCGCCACAAACGGAGGACGCTTTGTTTCATTTGACTTTTTAAAAAAAGAATGATGGGGATTAATTTAAACAAATTAATGGCTTCAATAAGCATTTAATGATGGCACAGTAACTAATCTGTAACACTTGAATTAAGGGATCCTTACTGCTACGCTTGCATGTGTTATTTCCTTTTAACAGAGAAGGGTGCTCTCTATGCTGGCTGAGTGCTTTTCAATACCTTTACAGAGGTCAAACGGAGCAAAACTGAGCTGCAATTTTGGCCTTCGCAGAATGCAACTATCCGCTTTCCGCAGAACCGGTGCTGTGCTCATTCAGTTACAGTCTTCCCCATCTCACAGCAGAGCATCTCTCCAGGGTCTCAGACACTAGTTTGTCTCTGCTTTGCTACCTGAGATTCTGTAACTCAAAGCACCAGGAGCTGAACCTAGGACCTTTCGGATGTGCTCTGCTGCTGAGTTACAACCTTGCCTTTAATAGCCTTATAATTGGGGTTGAGCTAAAACGTTCTCCTGGAACCTTAAAAAAAAGGGGGGGGGAGATGTTGCTTTGCTTCTTGGAATGGAAGCAATTTGGGAAAGGGTTAGAGCATATATTTTTTAAGGCAACTGCTTGTCCCCATCTTTACCACACACTTTAAAATAAAATTCCTATAGGGGATTTTTTTTTTTAAAGGCATGCACTGTATGTTATACTGAGTAATTATCCCCCCTGGGAACTAGAATATAAAGATCTTTAAAATCATTCAGCTGAGAGAACAAGCACTTTAACTTTCGCCTCACAGGAGTTGTGTATTACATTATCAGCTGCTCGCTCTGGTGTCATTGTGTCATGCCTCGCAGGTTAGCAGGGTTTGGCAGAGGAAATGAAACCCAGTCAGTTACGGCAGGATTTATAGCAGACCTGCTGTTGCAGGAAGTGGTGAAAAGTTGATTGATAGCCTGAGACAAAGCTCTACTGCAAAAAAAAACAACAAAAAAACAGGATGCATGCCTGCTATTTATACCTGGCTTCCCTTTCTTCCTCTCTCCCTCCTTGATCCATATTTCATACAACTCTGTTGCTTTGTTGTTCTCTTCATTGTGTAAAAAGAAAAGAGGGGGAGCCTTCTAGGAAAGGATATATTTTTGGCATTCTAGCAAAGCGGCAGACTTCCCCATTTATAATTCCCAGGAGAGGTGACGTCTCCTAATTATTGCCCCATAGCAAAGTTATTTAAAAAAATCAAAACCCTCACAGCAGAAATATACAGATGACTTTGCCAACCTGCTGCCCTCCAGATGTTTTGGAATGCAACTCTCATTAACATCTTGAAGACACTTGGCTGGTGAAGGCCATCCTCAAAGCCACAAGGAGTACAACCCAAATCCTTTAAATCACAGGCGCTTTGGCATATTTGGGCAAAGCACCTGCTTTTGGAGACAGTTGGAAGCACATGTGCATGAGGCTGTCGATAATCCGTCTTCCTCAAAGCAGGAGGCATTCAGGCAAAATGATAGCTCAGTTGGTAGAGGAGCAGATTCTTAAACCTCAAGGTCATGAGTTCGAGTTGCACATTGGGCAAAAGATTCCTTCATTGCAGGGGGTTGGACTAGATGGTCCTTGTGGTCCCTTCCAACTCTATGATTCTACGACCTTTTAGCACTGTGGTTTAAAGTAGCTGTGTTTTAGTAGCTGTACGCCTTCTTTCTTCACAATTTGGAGAGACAGTGCCATCTGTTCATATGTTATGGGAGGCACAGGCTGCATCTAGCTTGTCAAGCCACTTCTATTGGTTCACAACCCTCAAAAAAATCAGGCAGCTCATCCCTGCTTTTCCTGGCAAAGGCACCTGCAAGAAAGTCTTGGTGCTCAGATGGGCAGGGTATAAAATAAAAATAAAAATAATTATTAAACAGGGACAGAGCCTTCCTGTTCCCTGAGCACTAAGGCCTTCTTCCAATGGTGTCATGCCAGAGGGAGAAGACGTGCCTTTGCAAGGTGAAGTGGACAGCTTTCCTTTCCATCCGTCCTGGGCTGGGAGTAGAGGTTCCTCTGCTGATCAGCAACAGAATGGAGAGGCTGTCTGAATATATGTGCGTGTGTGTGTGCGTGTTACTATTCTTTATTGGATTTCCTAACCACCCTTCACCATAAGGTCCCAGGGCAGGTTACAACGATATAAAAATACAGACCCTGTATCAGTTAAAACAATGTACAATCAGAAGAATAGGGCGGATCCTTAAATATCTCTCTCAGGTGTCAAAGGACAGGGCAAAGAGGTATGATGAAAGCTATACAATGAAGATGCTAGACACACCTGTGAGGACGAAATTCCACAGCTTGGGGGCTTCATCAGAGGGTGCCCTCTCCAGGGACACCATGCCCCAAAGCTCTGAGGGTGATGGAACTACCAAGAGGGATCTCTTGACACCTGAGAGGAACTGTAGGGAAGGAGATAGTCTTCCAGATATTTGGGGCCTAAGCTGTTTAGGGCTTTAGGGGGACATGGGACCTTCAAATCAGGCCTGGAAGCAGACTGTCAACCAATGTAGCCATTTTAAAACAGGGATTGCATGAGTTATAAAATGAACCCTGCCCAGTACCCCTGCTGCACTTTGGACCAGTTAAAGTTTCCGAGTCATAGTTAAGGGCAGGTCCCACGAAGAGCATGTTAAAATAGTCCAGTCTGGAACTTACTGGAGCATGGAGTGCAAAGGCCAAGTAATTTTACTGCAAAAGGGGGTGTAAGCTGCTCAACTAGCTGGAGCTGAAAACAGACATCTCTAGCAACTAAGGCCACACCTGTGCCTCCACTGACAATGTTAGAGCCACACGATGAAAGCGTACTCTCTGTGCATGGCTTGTTTGTGTGGAGAATATGCATGTGCATGCTCTGGCCATGCCACCACTGGCATGTGGTTTTGAAAAGAGTGACCAATCCTCAATGTGGCCCTCTGGCCTAAAAAGGGTGGCCATGCCTGTTACAGGGGCAATAAACCTTGTGGTACATTCCCATTTACCATCACTTAATTCTTCAGCCCACTCTCTGATCCAAGCAATGCAAACCTTGGACCATCTTGCCATGGTCCAGCACTACGGGAATGAATCCTGCATCTGCACACTCTGCTGCTCCGCTTAATTATTTTGTGACCCCCACATTGGCAAATTATCGTTTGTGCTTCGCCTGCAAACTAGGAGTGACTAATTAAGCTGAGCACACAAGGAATGGCGGTAGCCTGCTTGCACAGAGCTTGTCGTCCGGGAGCACCAAACCACTGCTTGGCGTTATGTGTTAATCCACCCACTGTGTCCAAGACAAGAAACCTTCTGTTCAAATAGGAGCTTAGGCGTAAATCTAAGGGAAAGAAATCCAATCTGTATGCACCAGAAACACCGAACACACCACTGACAGAGTAGCTCTCAGATGATGCAACTTGGGCATCGAAGTGGGAGAGGGTGCAAACCCTGGCGTGCGCAAAGAAACCACAGAGCAACACCCACACATTTCAAAGGCAAGCAGTCATGTTATCAGAATGAATATTACATGTGTTTGGCTACCAGCCAGATCGGCAAGCTTCAGAACTCCAAAGCGTTAGAGCAGTTCACAGCCCTGGCTTCCAGCCAGGCACACAAATTACTCACTCAAAAAAGGACGCTGGCATTTATTTTCAAAGATATGGAAGTCATTCCTTGTCTCCCAACTGGGCTGAAGGAGATAGTTCCGAGGCCGCATTTGAAGCAGAGATGCATCATGCAGCCTACGCAAAAAAAAAAGCCAGCGTTTCTCATCCCACAAGAATCCCCTACAAGGATCCCTTTCCCTGCAAGCGAAACTTCTGCCGTTTAAAAAAGGATAAAAGCGCAACTACAGAGCCAAGTGGCTGGAGTAAACATTCTGACAAAGGCAGTTAGACATTGTCAAGAACTGTTCTTTAGGCTGCAGTCCCTGGAAAGAAGAATCCTTGTCAGAACAAGCTTCTTGACGTTCTGGGAGTTTCTTGATGTCGGGGATGCTTTCCAGCAAATGCGTTCCCCAGGCAAACGGTTGCCAAAGAAAAAGTTCCCCTGTTCCGGTTTCATGGTACCTGTTTTTCTAAAGCTTCAGTGAAAACAGTCACCCGCAGTGACAGCGAGAGCGTTCGTCCCCTTACGGGCAAATCTTCAGCTCTAATTGTACCACTGCTGCTTTTCTCTCTCACACCCATACCAAACTTTGAACTTCTTGCTTAAAAGGGTTCATATCCTGCTCCCACTGGCATCTGCACTCTCAGTTTCGGCTTCTCCCCCCACCCCACCCCCGGTCTACTAGTTAGCTGCTCCCTCTGGAGAGATTTTCCCTCTGCCGTAACTCTTCCCACAATTCTCCTCTGTGTCCCCCCCATCTATCCCTTTTGAATAAGATTAGAAATTTTCTCAAGATAAGCAGTTCTGCCTCCCCCCCCCCCACCATGATTTAATTGCTCTCTCCACAGAGAAGTACAAACAACCAAACTCCCTTTGAGAAACACACACTTACAGCTTGGAAATGCTTTAAGTCTGTTCACCAATTAACAGAATATTGGTATATTCTGGGGTGGGGGAAGGCTTTAGGACAGGCATCCCCAACCTGCAGCCCTCCAGTTGTTTTGGCCTACAACTCCCATGATCCCTAGCTAACAGGACCAGTGGTCTGGGATGATGGGAATTGTAGTCCAAAACATCTGGAGGGCCAAAGGTTGGAGATACTTGCTTTAGGACAACAAGCTCTTATGTTGGCATCCATTAAGATACTGTAAATTCACAGAAAGGGGTGGTTGTAGCTGGGGGTGGGGTGGAAGAGACACACTGATATTTTACAAAAAGTAGGTGGTAATAAAGAAACCTAAGTCTTGTTCAATTATCTCCTGTGTCAGAAGATGTCATGACCCTGATTCCTGGTCTTCAGGGGATGAGGACTCTCAGAAACACCCCCCCCCCCCATGAGCCATTTGTGTCTGAGCCTTGGTCTGAGGATACAGCACTGCCATCCTTAGAACTGAAGGACTGCATCACAGGATAATCATCATCACAGGAGACCCAGTGAGACCAGAGTCTCCCTTGCTCCGTTAGTGAGTGATGGAGCTAGCTGGGGTCCTTTAATTGAAAGGGCACCTTCCTGGGGGACTGGCGCTTACAGCAGGGATGCTGCTACTGCAGCAGCAACGGCTATATAGAGCTCAGTCTGTTTGGTACATGCTGAAGCAACATCAGATTTCTGCTCTCCCGTAGCTCAGCCTGGACCCTACCCTGCCTTCAGCCCAAGCCAGAGTCGTATACCCAGCCAAAGCCTGACCTGCTCACTTCCAACAGAAACCATCTTAAGTCTCCTATAAACGTGTTCCACTTCCTCTGGATTGTGGAAAATATAGTTCAAAAAAGTTTGTTGTGCACTGCTAACTTTCCCTGCTTAGTATCTCACCCAACAGCTGGAAAACCAAGTTACTCATCATCTTTGCAAAGGGGCAAATCTATCTTGATCTATCATGAAAGGGAGACCTCCATAGGGGGCTCCAGTGGAAGTTCATGTTATTGGTAACATATAATTCTGCCTCTTGAAATTGCTGGCTTTTTGAGAGAATGGGCTAGTCCAACTGGGTAGAGAATTACTAACTTCAGTACCGCTGCAAAAATCAGGTCTTCCCTTCCTTAAGAGAACCTCCCAGGACACAGAAGTGTTGAATAACTATCACCTAGTGGCTAATATCACCTTCATGGTCTCATACAGGAAGTGTGTGTGGGGGGGTGTATTCCCCAGCTCTGCTAACCAAGGACAATTTTAACTAGAAATCCCCAGAATGGAACCTTGGACTTTCTATATGCAAAGTACATGCTCTGTCATTCAGCTGCAGCCACTCCAAGGCTCTGCCAAAGCTGGCAGAGATCAGTTTCACAGGAATCACCAATATAGCCTTTTTGTGTTGTTACTGCACACCCGCCCCCACCCCAGCCTATTTCCTTTAAGTAAAGAGACTGCGTAGCATGATAAACCAAGTGTCAGGAATATACTTGCCAACTTAGAAGGAAAGCTTATTAGCCCTTGTGATCTTTGCCAAAGGAGCCAAACACAGTGGAAGCAACTTCCCAAGAGACAGAAGAAAAAAGGCGAGAAGATGGGAAGTGAGAACGTGACCCTGGGCAGTTTAGCTAATGTGTGTGTGTGTGTGTGTGAGAGAGAGAGAGAGAGAGAGAGAGAGAGATACCTATAAAGCAAAACATAGGTAAACGTGCCCTGAAGTTTCAAAGCTCTTTTGATAAGCATTTAATTTAGGAAGATTAAAGTCACTCATTTTAATTCTCCCGTGTGATTAATTGAGCCTTGCGATTACATTAAGGTGTGCTTGTACAGTAAGTACATTTGTAGTAATGATAGCTTATTATTATGCCAAGAGTGATCCTACATAAACAAGCATAATAAGGCTTTTTCAAAGTGTTGTGCATGGTAATTATCAGTTGTCGTAGTGCCAACTGCTTAAGGAAAATGTTTAATTGCAAGCTAAATTGATCGTATGCATGTTTTCATTTAACACACAGCTTCGGGGAACAGACAAAGCAAGGGAGGCAGCATCTCAGAAGTTGCCCATACACCTGGAGTGACAACTGATAGGGAATGCTACATTCCTTTGCTGGCGGGCCCAGTAGTCACCCTGCTTTCTTTCTGTTGTTTCTGCTAAATTTTGTCCAAGACGTTCTTAATCCCCCATGATTTGCATAGTCTTTGAACATCAGGTGGCAAAACAATTTAGTGCCTCTTCTTATTTTATACAATCCCAGCACAGCCCATCTAAAGAGGCAGGGCAGATTTTGATCTAACATTTTTCACTGCACAGTGGTGTTTGGGAAGGATGCCTGTGAAGAAGTGCAAGTGCAAATAATGATGTCACAATGCAGATATATGCGCAGGTAACATTTTCCATTTGCTACCATTCCAAAGCTGGGGGGGGGGCATGAAAAAGTATCATGTTTGAATCTGCCTATACAGAAAGATAACTTTGTATTATATACTGGTTCATTGCCTCGATTTCTGTAGGAATTTTTTTTTTTTAATTATTATTTTTTAAGTGTAGCTTAAGACAGGAGTCAGCAAGGTTTATCTTGCCTGGGCTGGATCAGTCCCGAGGAGATCCCTCTGTGGGCCGGTTCACGTGCATGTGTGAGCGTGCCCGCCCACGATTTTTGGTGTCTGCCCGTGGAAGCGAGCCCCCACACCACGCTGCGCCGGTTTAGCACAGCATGCAAGCAGGCAGCTCGGTTTGGGGGCGGCTCGGGGGCCAGTCAAACGACCTCCGCGGGCCACTTCCAGCCCATGGGCCTTAGGTCGCTGACCCCTGGTCTAAGAGCTTTCTATCAGCTAGGTTTATTGCTTGGTAAAAACATAACTCCTTTTTTATTTTTTATAATGCATATTAAGGAATTCTCAGCATCCTTTTGAGCATGAGCATCCTAGCTGATGGTTAAAACTTGCACATACAGATCAGAGACACAACCTTGCATTCAACGATGGGTTGTGCAAATCCTACCAAAGTGAAATTTCCTTACAAAACTAATCACAGGAATGCAACATCATGGCAACCCTGGTACTTACGAAGGTTTCTTATGCACATATATCATGCCTAATCTGCAAAGTTTGTGTGTCTGTGTGTGTGTGTGTGTGTGTGTGTGTAGGCAACTTCTGCTGATATCATGCACTCATGTAACTGCACACAACAATATATATTGTAAGATCCAAGTAACATGCCACTGAAAGACAACTATTCAATTCATTTTCCATTGTAGTTAAACTCTTGGCAGGATTCACCTACAGAGCAAAAGATGCCTATTACTGTACCCTGCTGAATTGCAAGGCATGGCTGAGGCCAAGATTCTAAACACTCTAACTCACCTTCCAACTAAATTGGCTTCTAAGGTCACTTGCAAAATGGATATAACTTAATCCAAGAGTATCCAGTCTCCATGCTGGAGTTGGAAGATACCCTTTGGAGATTCACTGTACTGGGGCTGTGTAGGTGGAGGAGAGAACGGGGAGAGATTTTGCTGTCTTTAGCAGAATGTGCATCATCTCTGTGAATAAAAAAAGCCTTAGTCCAAAAAGTACGTAAACTCTTCAAAACTCTCAGGCCATCATACGATTAAGCAGACAACAAACACTATTCCCTTTCAATGTATACCAGGGGTAGCATGCATTCACATACAAAATGACAACACACTGTGGTCATCTGTACAGCACACTGGTTTTACAAGGAAGTGTTATTTAATTTCTATGTACCCTGCAGGTGACCAGCCAAGGAGTTCCTGCATTAGCAAGAGAGGGAAGGTTGGCATGCTGAACTGTAGGGTGTGTCTGATCACTTTGCTTCTCCATTAACTACTCTGCCAAAAAAGACTTAACAGCTTTTAGCAGAACAAAAGGTTGGAAAGTGACCCGTCAGAATAGCAGAGCTGGATGCTGAAAATCCAGCATAATTGCTTCACCTACAAAGAGAAAGCTGGCTAGACAGATTATTTTGCGCACACAGTGAAGGATGTCAGAAGAATAAATCTACCTGGAATCTGGCCTGCTTACCACCTGGGTGCAAAGATCATGCTTGCTCAATATTTCTGGATGCGCCTGCAAGTCCTCTGCCTTCTCAGGTTTTAATGCTGTTGCATCAGCATCTTGCTGCCCTCTCACAATTTAAACCAGCCTTCCTCAACCTGGTGCTCTCCTGAACTTTTTGGACCACAACTCCCATCAAACACATTATTACAGAGGCACCCCTTTCTCTTTCAAAACTGAGAGTTGCCATTGTTAAAGGCTTCCCTAGTGTTTTCGTAAGCTTCTGCGAAGATATTTAGGGTGGTTTGGAGGTCATCCTCTCAGCTTGCACACACTACGTTGTCATCAGCATACTGAAGCTCTATGACAGAAGTTATGGTAACCTTACTCTTTGCTTTCAGCCTGCTCAGATTGAAGAGCTTTCCATCTGTTCGATATATGATTTCTACCCCAGTAGGAATTTTCCCTTCGACAAAGTGTAGGATCATGGCAATGAAAATAATGAATAGAATTGGGGCAATAACACAACCCTGTTTAACACCTGATCCCACTGTGAATGGTTCACTTTGAGAGCCATTGTTATCTGCAATTGTTGCTGTCATATGGAGAACCGTGCTAAGAGGAAGGCACGCTTGGCAAGTCCACACTGTGATCAACTCCTGCCTGGAAACCAATGTCCCCACTGTGGAAGGATGTGTGGATCCAGAATTGGCCTCCACCGTCACTTACGGACTCATTGTTAAAACCGTGTTTATGGAAGACAATCTTACTTGGCTACGAGTGATCGCCAAAGAGAGTGTTTTCAGATCTCAAGGAAGGGGAAATCTCTCTTGTTGGAACAAGTAAAGAGCTACCAATGATAAAAAATAATAATATTAAAGCTCATTTTTACATCCAGACAGAGCCAAGGTGTTCATTTCTGCACTAAAGTTCTAAAACATTTAAGTGGTGAGGGAGTTAAGACCACACACCTTGGAAATAAAAATTTCTATATAATTTAGGGGCAGTAATTGCAGACAGATGACAAGGACCGACATCAATTTAACTACAGAAGGCGCAGAGCTAAAATACATGAAAAGCTCAATTATGCTTCAATAAAATATAGACGATACCACAGATGGAGTGTTGAAGCAGCCCCTCTCATCCAGGAGCGGCCAGGGTCAACAACATAACAGATAATGAAACAGAAAATTCAGCCACTTTTTAAAGGGAAGAACTCCATAAATGAACCAACAGAACCATTTTATGAGCAGCACTTGAAAGACAAAAATGCTTTACAATTGAGTATTTAACTGCGTTCCGACAAAAACACACACACACACACACAGAGAGAGAGAGAGAGAGAGAGAGAGAATGAATATATCTCAGGCTTCAAAACTCCCTATGTTACTGAAGCATTTCTTCTCAAAAGGTAAAAGCCTTGAAAGGTGTGCCTGGAGAGACAGATCTTCAGTGACTGCACTTTTAACATAGATGTCTTAGCAGATATGCTGTATTTCAATGTGCTTCCTCACAGCTTCAAGGTTATTTCTAATTAACATCTGAGGTTGCCATTAACAAGCTTCAAAAATAATAGATGTAAATTTAATCATATATGTATGTGCCATTTCTCTGCATGCATGCACATGTATGAGTGTGCTCTGCTATATTTATTAGGAACTGAAAGTACGCTCAGTGTAGAAGACTTAAGACACAAACAAAATTGATGCATTCTTCTGTCCATAGCTGCCAACCTTCCCTTTTTTTGCGGGAAATTCCCTTATTCCAGCGCCGTTTCCCACTGCTTCCTGCTGCTATCCCAGATTGTTAGATATCCCGTAGACTGTCCCCGGGACAGGTGAGGCTGCTGATCCCTTATTTTCAAATCTGAAAGTTGACAGCTATGCTTCTGTCCCAAATGCAGATGCGTGTGGACCTCTGTTCTACAATTTCACAAGTCAGAATCACAGTTAATACCAAGGGCTACTATTCACTGCATAAGCACTGAGACCCGGCTCCGGCTTCCTTGCGAACACATGCAACATGATGTGTCCCATGGTAATTAGCTAGACTCAACAGGAACTTCGCCTAAAGGGTGGATTAGTCTTTCATGGTATTGTGTACACAAATTATACACCATCTGAATACCACTGGTTTTATAATTGCAGCTTTTGCTAAGTGGCTGTGTAAATATCATAGCTGCGGAATCTTGGAAAGGAGAGCTCCTGCATCTGTTCATTATGCTCGGCGCAGTGATGCAATGCCCTCTCACTACATGCCGGCTTGGTCTAAAGGGGATGCCAACAGCAGTGATCAATCAGCAAAAAAACCAGACAGTGCTGCGTTGCTGTCGTCAATGGTATACAGATGCCATTTACCACAGGGAGCTTCCCCCAAGCACTGCAAAGCTACTTCTGAACAGTACATCATTTCCTCTAGCAGCAAACTTGGGTGGTGAAGTGTCTATTCAGCCTGGAAGTGAAATGGGGCCACGCAGTGCTTTTTTTTCTAAAAAAAATGTTTAGGGGTAGTCTCATTTTATTGTTCAAATTAGGAAAAATAAATACAGTGGTACCTCAGGTTAAGTACTTAATTCATTCCAGAGGTCCGTACTTAACCTGAAACTGTTCTTAACCTGAAGCACCACTTTAGCTAATGGGGCCTCCTGCTGCTGCCGCGCCGCCGGAGCCCGATTTCTGTTCTCATCCTGAAGCAAAGTTCTTAACCCGAGGTACTATTTCTGGGTTAGCGGAGTCTGTAAACTGAAGCATATGTAACCTGAGGTACCACTGTACAGTAAATGGACAAAAGTACAAAGATTCAAAAAATGTTTAGGGGTATGCATACCCCCCAGAAAAAAAGCACTGGGGCCGCCCAAAAAGACAGTACTGTTTCCTACATACTTGGGAACTCTGTAGAAATGCCTACATTTATGTTTTTGTTTTTTGTTTTTTAAAGTTTAAAGATCCAGAAAACTCCCATATGAGTTCCCTTGGGGTACTGCTGACAGCAGCTGAGCCAAGAGAGAAGCAGAGGGGATTGGTGGATCCCTAAAGAAACAAGAATTTAGACAGACTGTTTGAGGTATACTTATTAAGTCTACATTTGAGAGCAGTTAAGACAGTGAATGCTAGGGTGGCAGTTGCAAACATTGGTATTTTTTTAAAGGTTCATGGGAGGATGGGAGAGAAAACATGTATTCATGACCCTGACATCTCACATCCTGGTGAATTTGGGGGGCGGAGAGTAGAGAAGATAACTGTCTTGCAATATACAGGGATGTTTCAGAAAAAGAAATTATCCAGAACTGTCTCTCCCTCACTTCAGCTTTACAGCAGAAGGTGACCTGTCACAGTGAGGAAAAGAAGTGTCATTGATCCCTTCCCATTACTGAAACATCCCTCACCTCAGGGAGTCAACACTAGAGAACTCCTGTTTCAGGCTTTCTGTGGCCCTGACACCACCTGTCTTCTTAGGTGCTCGGAATACACTGCAACCGTGGCGCAGCTCCCATTTGTCCATCTATATTGCAAACCGAATTTATAACAGAAGTGACAAACCAGGGCACAACCCTTGCCACAAACAGTCGTGAGCATAAGGCCCTCACGTTCAGGCCTATGTAAAAAGCCAAACCGAACTCCTGCCCCAAGAAAAAAGCTGGATTCTGTGAGCAAGGGTCCACAGTTCCACTTGCCACGCGAGTCACGAAGCTGGGGAAGGGGGCAGGATAGCATCTTCACAACTGTGCTGTCCTTCTGAGGCACTCTGTGCGCCGAAGCCGAATGGTAGGAGAAAACAAAGAGAGAAGCAAAGAAATACTTTTCCCACTCCTGTGCCATGGATATGCAGATGGGTTCTCTCTTGTTCCTGAGAATTCCACAGCATTTTGGGAAACAGGGAGAAGCTAGCAGTGTCACTTCTGTGCTGAAGCTTGATAGCTGCATTTAAACAGCACTACCTTTCCAGGGACGCAGGTGGCGCTGTGGGTTAAACCACAGAGCCTAGGACTTGCCGTTCAGAAGGTCGGCAGTTCAAATCCCCGCGATGGGGTGAGCTCCCGTTGCTCGGTCCCTGCTCCTGCCAACATAGCAGTTCGAAAGCACGTCAAAGTGCAAGTAGATAAATAGGTACCACTCCAGCGGGAAGGTAAACGGCTCTGGTTCGCCAGAAGCGGCTAAGTCATGCTGGCCACATGACCCGGAAGCTGTATGCCGGCTCCCTCGGCCAGTAAAGCGAGATGAGCGCCGCAACCCCAGAGCTGGTCACGACTGGACCTAATTATCAGGGGTCCCTTTACCTTTACCTTTTTACCTTTCCAGAACAACAACAAAAAAGGCTTGCTTGAAATTTCTATTTAGTCACTAGAACATTGCCATTTTAATTGAGGCACAACAGAAAGCAGGGGATCCAGAAGGCCTTGCACCAAATGCTATCGGCGATTTGAATCAGCCTGGCTGTCGGGACCCACTTCCCATCTCCAATGTGGCAAAGCAGCTTGGCCACAACGCTTCATGAAAACACCTGTCAAGGCACCCCTGGAGAGAACAAGTGGCGAGTGGCTTCCCCACACGCTACTGTGCGCCTCATGCACCAAGGCCATTCCCTGGAGAGCTCTCCTCACGCCGAGAGGCTCATCATGAGGCTGTTCAGCTGGAGAGCGCTGGAAAGGCTGCAGCTCAAGCAGTGCAGAGCTCCAAGTACTTGACATCTGATGCAAAGGATGCATCCGTCAAATATGCACATTCACTTTCTAGTGTTTGTCAAAGCCAGTACAAGAAAGAGAGAAAGAAAGAGAGAGAGAGAGAGAGAGAGGCCCGCCAAACATTCCTTTCGACAGAAGCTAATCAGCAAGTGGAAAGAGTAGCAGGAAACAGAAGGTGCGGATATTGAAATGGCCCAATTAATGGACCTGGCTCTTCCGGTTTTGGGAGATGGTATTTTTTTTAAAAAAAAAAAAAACATCCACAGCCTTATCAGAAGCAGAAGGGGGGGATGCAGGCTACGGCAGTGCATTGCAAATAGCATTACTTACATACAGGAAGCCGGAATTAAATTACTAGCGCATCTTGGGGCAAATGACAGTTCCTCAACAGGGCAGGATAACAAGCAACACAGTAGATGCAAAACCTCCTCTGGTGGTTATCAGCTGTCAAAACAATGACACGGCCCATTCCACACTGTACACAAGAGGTATTGCAAGGAAAAAAGAAGCAGTAACAGAGTAGAGCGCCCAAGGAGGTAGCTGAGCATACAAGATTCCTGTACGGACTATGAATAAACGACATTTATCCCAATTATAGTTCCCCCCCACTTTCCTTGAGTTGGTAAGATGAAGAGATACTGGTAGCAGGAAAGGACAAGGTGCAAATGAACGCTAGAAGTGAACTTGGGTGTGTAAACAGGAATGAGAATATTTCAGAGGAACCTATTGTTATGGTCTAAAAATGAAATGTCTGGGTTCACACTGGAAGCCAATTTTCTCCTTCTCTGTGAGCTAAAGTGACAGCGAGCCCATGGAAGAGGAAAAATCCACTTTTCTTCAGCATACTGTGACAGGGACACTCCTCCCACCCCTCACTAAGGGCAGCAGAAAACAACAGGACATCACATTCTTTCCGAGGCAGATCTTACTTCAAATGAAACACGTGATATATTTTTCTTAAAACATTAAAAAAAAAAATGTTTAAAATGCCAATTCCAAAGCCAAATACAGTCCATCACCCCCACGTTTTGCAGTTTTAAAGGGGGGAGGAGTCTGGCTGCGAGAGCTACAACAACAGTAAACTGAGCAGCCCTTCATGATTCACCCCCCAGGGTGTGAGCCCATGGACAGAGGAATATCTGCCTCTCTGCCATTTCCCTCCATTCAGTAGCGCTGGCCCTCTCTGCAGCTGCAGATATGGTAGGGCTTTGATACAGCACCGCTGGCTTTTCTCCTTGCAGCAAAGTGAGCACAGCGCCAGGCAGGAGGAAGGCTGGAGCGCAGCAGGCTGACTGGCTGAAGCAACCTTTGCGTAGAGGGCGAGAGAGAATTCTTAGATGGATGAATGAATGAAGGGAGGAGTGAAAAGGCTGGAGGCAAGCAGAGGCTGGAGGTCCCAGAGGGAGACTGGCTAGCTGGGGGGGGGGGGGGGCTGAATATAAAAAAGAGAATGAATGAGAAGGAGGAAGGGAGAGGGAAGGGATGTCCCCATGCAGGTAGTGGTGCCAAAAGTCTGATTAGGGACTGAACATCATCTCTTCCTCCATTAACTCCGAATGTGCAGAACTTCAGAGGCTCACTTCAAGTAAAGCATCTACACAAGATGCTAAAGGAGGATAAAATGCTAAGGTGTGGCATTTATTTTCATAATCTGGACAGGAAATCTCTTAAAGTAAACACACCCGCTGAGAATTTATAGTCCACACAGATGTGTGCTATGAAGAGGAGCTGAGTGGGAGAGGGACCTGGAATATTAAATGATTTTTCTTTTAAAGAAACCATACCACTCCAGTTTTGAGAGAAAGGCAGGCTTTTACTTGGGCTTTGGAAATGGCTTGATAGTGCCCCCCTCCCCAAATTGTCAACGAAGTCAAAAGCCTGGCAGCCAATCAAAGGATGCAGCGGCAGTGATGCTGTTTCCTGGCAGTGGGCTGACCACTGCTGGAAGGAGAGTGCTGGACTAGACGGACCCTCCACCTGAGCCAGAAAAAGCACGTCTCATGCTTCAGCCGTGCAGGAGAAAAATATTAATAACGAAACAGATGACTCATTCAATGCACATGCACACAAAAAGTACAAACTCTAATTAAACTGCAGTTATGAGCATTGGTTTCGGGAATAAATTTTGTTTTGGAATAGTGTTCCATCTAACCAAGGGTGCAATTAAGTTGTGACAGCAGCAAGGCCTAAGCCAGGTCCCACCAATTCTCTAGGAAGTGGAAAGGTGGGGAGAGATTTAAAGAGCAACACTACTAAAACTGTTCTTTTCCTCCAAGTGAGAGTCACTTTCAGCCTCTTCCAGTTTTAAAGTGCTGCACTTTAAATCCCACTCTCTACTTTAAATTGGATTGAGCATCACATCCAGCATGACCGTTAAGTGGGCATGTAGGATCTATGTGCATGTGTGCAGACACACACAGACCCTTATAAGATACATGAACTTCCCAAGCATATTCCACATCTTTCCTATCAGCACATGTATGAGAACAAGCGCTAGATTCTCAGGCATATGTTCACAGGTATGTGTCACGACAGACTAAGCAGTAAGAGCTAACTCATCATCTGACTTAGGCTCCCTTTTAAGTGGAGAGGTCGGGAGAAATGAGCAGGAGGCTCCGATTCTGTTCAGACAGAGGGGAAGTTCAAATTGCCACCATCATCCCATTGAGACTTTTGCAAATTCCTTTCCATAAAAAATACTGGCCAGCAGGGGCACTGAAGTAGATTCTGGACAAAGAATCACGTCAAAATGACACACAAGATTGGGGCTTGCATGTCAGCTGATGAAATATAAGAAAACTTATTTTCTTTCTAGGACTGACCATGATTTAAATTGTAGCTGTGCTCCCGTAACTGATGCCCTGACATTCATGGTAGGTAACTGGGAAAGGGTGGAGGAGAAGCCACAACAAAAAATGTATTTTTTCTGTTCCACGAACCTGGCATAATCTTGATCTTTTTGGGTTTACAAAACGGAGTCCTACAAAATGACAAATGGCAGGAGGTTCTTCCCCGTTCTCTCTCATCCAGTGACATAAACCTGTCTATCGTAATATATTATCGCACGGTCGTTCCTCTGGGCGTCCGCAGGCTGTCTCAAGTCCCGGGCATTAGCTTACAGCGACTCGTGGCAGCATGGGGAATCCTTGTAGAAAGAGCTGACAGTGGAGGCACAAAATCCCCGTTCCCCACTAGAAGATTATCATTTCAATATAACATCAAAAGGACCGTGAGAAAGGAACATTTGCCCTTCCTTTCCGTTTCTGCTCACCCCAGTTAAGCGGCTGATAGTAGAATTGCTGCCAAAGGGTGTCAGCTACTGACAAGGCTGCGAACAGAACAGAAAGATGCTATTTGCATGGAGAGAAGCTTCCCCTCTTTGATCACAGCTGCAAGCCGCACCTGCTTAAAAAGGCAGCAGCTACACAGGCTACATGTCGTCCCTGTAGTCAAAACAGAAGGAAACAGCGGAGAAGTGCTGACTGAAGAGAGATGACACAAATCGCTGACCCCCCTTTCTGCAAGCTGATAGCAAACGGCTGCCTGCCCCGCAACTTCAGAGAAATCAAAGCGAGAACCCAAAGGGAGTGAAGAGCTTTGCTTGCATCCCCTCTCTCTACCTGTGGCAAGGTGCATCGCTCAGACACAGCCGCAAGGAAGAGGAACTGTGGGGAGGGGGGAAGATGATGGAATGAGCAGCGGGGAAGGAAGAGGAGAGAGATGGAGCATCAAAAGGAAAATGTGAGCCAACAGCTGGGAAGGGAGCTTAAACCCTCCCATCTACCCCCTTTAAAAGCCATGTCATACAGGGTTGCTAAAGCACATAATAAAGGGCACTTTCTGGAATCCTAGACTCGTCTGTCACTCCTTCCAGCCTGCAGGGCAAACTCTATTGTTGTTCAAAGCCTGTGCGCTGTTGTACACAGCCTCCGTTACTCACAAAATGCTCTTGGTGCAGTTGCTGCTTTTACATATATATTATGGTGACAGGGTGTAGATATGGTGCATTGTACTTCAGGATAGAAAGGGAAACTAAAAAGGGAAAGAAATGTGGTTGGAATATGGATAGGTCGGGATAGGGCATTTAAAAGGGGGGTATTATATTCAGCTAAGTTGTACAGTACCTACAGTAGACCCGTAACAATTATTGGAACGAAGTTAGTCATGCCCATTCATTTCAATGGGTCTGCTCTGAGTAGGACCAACACTGGCTGCAACCCTATGCAAAAGTGCTTAAGTTGTTTCAAGGCTTGATCTAGAGGTGGGTGATAAACACTCCAGAAAGCCAGAGTGAAATTTGGACCACCTTGGCTGTGAGTCCTGTGGGACCTTCTCCCTGCCTTGCAAGCCTTTGCTACCTGGCCTGGGAGGGTGGGGCCCTGACTGACTCCAGCTACAAAAGCTGAGGCTGCTCTTGGGCTAGGGTGCTGTTTGGGTGTGATGGGGTGGTTGCTGCTGTTGGCTTTTTGTATCTTTATTTGAGATCTTGTTGTGATTATGTGGAAATTGTTCTGTTTGGTTGGGCATTTTTATGTTTTGTTTATTGTTTGAAACTACTTGCAATTGTTACACCGTATTGTGTATTTTTCCATGTCGTAAGCCGTCTTGAGCACGGTTTGAATTATGGAAAGGAGGCAGACAAATAAAATTATGTATGAGTGGACCTCTGGCTCACAAACAAAACCTGGCCAGCCAAACCTCCCAATATGGCCTGCAAGGCTGTTTCAAGGAAGCCATTCCCACCCAGCCAACACCTGATCTCATACAAGATGACATCAAGTGACCGATTAGGCAAGCTGTCCCACTAACCTCTCATATTTGGGACAGGCCCACGCAGAGCTTGTCTGGGGCTCAGGGCAGGAGTCTTGTTCTAGGCATGACAGCATAAGTTTGGCATGCCCCTGGCAGGGTCCCCCAGCTGGCTTAGCCCTCTGAGGCCCAAGGCCAGTATACCCTGCTGCCCCTCCCTCTTCGCAGGCCTGCATTTGGTCTACCAAGGAGTAGAAAAATAACAACCAAAGAACATTATTCACCCTTGATTTGCCATTTCATCAGAATCCATGACTGTGGTTTGTTTCTCCCTATCCCGATCACTATTCAACCTTAAAACCATGGTTTGTGGCTGGCTTGTTTAGAACCCCGGGCTCAGAGCTAGTGGGAAGTTGAGCTTAACCACAACTTCATTGTTCATTTCTTCTGTATGCCTCAGGGAGGAGTAAAGCAAGAGCAAACTGGGCAGCATACATTCTGCTCATGCACAATAAATCGGGATAAACTACAAACTCCAGCTTATTGTGACATGTGGATGTAGCCAGCTTTCCTTCCCTTTCAGACAGGATTCTTTCCAAATCCGCCTGGATAACAGCCCTGATCAGATCATGTCAACAGAGTGGCCAAAAGTCACTCAGTTAACTTCATGGCTGAGAAGGGTTTTGAATCTGGGTCTTCCTGACCCAAGACCAATGCTCTGGCCACTGGCTCTCATAGATAGCTTTAGAGAAACCCCACCACAGAAACCTAGAAATTCACTTACCTAGGCCCCTTTGTACACTAGTAAGTCAGGTAGAACACAAGCTTAACAACACACTCTTAAGGACAATTGCTAGGCAGATGAAAAAGGCAACAATGCCTTCTATCAGCCAGGGGCTTTGAAAACTACCCTATCCATGACCAAAGGCCACCCAAGCAATAAATAAAGGACAAGCTTAACACAGCATGTCTTCTCCAAGGCATAAGCAGATGTGATGCGACGTCCTGAAAGTGCTGCCAGCTACAGCGATGTTCTGCTTGTAAGCTGCGCTAAGAGGGAATTACAATAATTGAGCCTTTGGGTCATGGAGGGCTGAGCTGCCGCTGCAAAGCCATCACGGGATAAAGCTGAGGCCTTCGTGGATTGCACTATATCCGAAGCATATCTGTCACTCAGAGGCAAACCGACACTCTGGGGCTGCTGCAAAAGTGACACAGTCAGAGGCATCACCAAGGGCATACTCAAAAGGATTTCATGCAAATCACTAAATCGCCTTTGGTGCACACATTCACAAAATATACTGTGCGTGAAGACACATGTGAAGAAAAGATCCTAAGTCTACATTCATGACTTCAAATAAGAGAGTCACTACATGGCCGTTATTTTGAGTGAAACAACCTATACTGAAAGCTATGTAGTTTTACGCAGACAAACCTAGACTGAAAGTGAAAAGGTCCAGATCTAGCCAAGGGAAAACACGGAGCCAGCCTTGGGAAGACATGTTTCTTCCGCCTCTGCCAAGATAAAATCCAATGGCCCATTCCCTTCCCTGCCTGAATTTTAGTATTACATGGACCCCAAAGCTAACCATGGAAAACACTAGTTGTGCTTCCTCTCAAACAGGGTCCGACGTCCCATTTCACCCTAGATTAACAACAGAGACATATACTTCTAAATAATAGTGAAGGCAAGGAAGTGAAGGGAAGGGAAGAGAGGAAGGACACGGTCCCAGGCTGGTCTATGGTCTATGAACAATAAACATGACACATGCACTGGATTGATGTAACCAGCCGTCATGAGAGATAAGACTAGTTCCACGCCATATTAGAATTTCATTATTACCATAAAGAAAGAGAAAGCCACTTTGAAGGTTTAAGTCAGTGCACTCTTCTCACTGATCAGGAAAAGAGAGATATGTTTCTGTCCTGGAGCATGAGAGCTAGACTAAGGAATACGGTTTTCCTTCAGCGAGGGACCAGGTCATCTTAAATCACTCCAGAGGGAAAGAAACTGGAAGGCTTTCACTGCACCAGCTTTGGTGGTCTTCTTGATCCAAAGCAAATGAAAAGCCAGCCTCTGCACCCTCACCTCTATTTTTTTGCAGCTTGTCTGTTATATAGCATACCTGCCGCCTTTCAAAGATTTTCATAACTCAAGAGGGATTCCAGAGGCCCAACAAATTTATGTAAGTAATGAGAAGGGAGAGGGGGAATAAAAACCAAGCACTTAACGGAAGGGCTGGATTTTCTTTATCTATGACAGATGTCCAGCATTCCCAAAGCAGCATTTAGTGCCACTTCCTAAATACTTGACCAAAAAAAAGGGAGGGAAAAACCCCTGACAAATTAATTTTAATTCTATTGTGAAAACTAAAGCAGTAACAAGGTTGACAGCAGGGGATGTTATAAGCTCGCTTAGCAGGAGGATCAAGCAAAGTGGTGACACGCTGCATGACCTCAGGGGTTAAAGATGCAATTTTCCATCTGGCCGCATCTGGCTTTTCAACATAAAATGTTGACGACACCTGCCGAGATGCCTGTATGAGCTGCCTCTGCTGCTCTCTATGTATCCGCTGCAACCTGGGAGAGCCTATTAACAGCTTCCCCCTTTCGTGTTTTGCAGATTTGTGCAATATGGCTCACCCACCCCTAATTGCTGCACTGCATACAAATAGAATGGTTTATGTGGAATGCATATAAGGGAATAATTAAAGCAATAACTATTAGAAAATTACTGGGCATGCAGTATTTGCTTTATGGTGCAGCATATGCTGAGTCTGATACTGCCAAATGCTTTCTTGAAATAAGTTGAAGGGAGGAGCCGAGAAGAGAAGAGAAGAGAAGAGAAGAGAAGAGAAGAGAAGAGAAGAGAAGAGAAGAGAAGAGATTAGCCACATGCCGTGTCTCAGACTTAAGGATGTTTTCCAGGGGGGATATTACCATATTGACTCAAAAGTAATGCACACTTTTTGGGGGGCCAAATCACGTCATGAAAATTAGGGTACACATTAGTAGATTTGATGGCGCATTTACATTGGCCAGGAAATACTTTTTTGGTTTTGAAAACTGAGGTGGGCGTTAGATTCAATGGAGCATTAGATTGGCGTAAATACGGTAATCTTTGCTCATGTTTTACCACAGCAAGCAATACCCAAAGTAACTGGAAAGGATATGAATTAGTACTGCCACAGGGATACAACTTAGCATACAGGGGACAAAAATTTACTGGATCCAACTGGGTTTTTTAATTATTAAGAAAAACACCCCACTACTATTTACTATCCCACCACCCTCTCCACTTAGCCAGAAACTGTAGTCCTGGCATTTTCTCATTCCACCAGTTGTGTCACCATGATAAATTACCTGCCCTCTTAATCTCCTTTTTAGTTCCACTAATACCATGTATTTCAATACTTTCATTCACCTTTTATCCTTCAAACATATCGTAGCTGGGTATTGGCATGGAACAAACAGAGATTTGTAGTTAAAAGCTGAAGGTAAGATAATTAATAAATCTTACTTATAATATATGTTTCCTTACAGCTAGGTTATTAGACTTGGTTCAGTAGTTGATGTTATTGTTGCTTAATGGTGTTGATTTAAGATGTCTGGATGCTTGTTTTAGTTTCTGCAGCCACACAGATAACCATAACCAGCTGCCCTTCATAAGTCCACCTCAGTAAACTCACAGGCTTGTTCAACAAGCTTTACTTGACATCTTCCTTCTGGACAGGGTTCACAGCCTTACAGAGTCAGGAACTCGCTGCTTCCTGCAGTCAGCTGACAGCTACAGCCACACTGTCCTCAGTTATACCCCAAAGCTGTTGCTGGGAGCCTTCCAACTCCTCTCTTGCAGAGCTTCCTCGCTTCTGTCTTCCATGATTTCAGCCTCTAGCTGATCCCATACTCTTCAGGTATGCTGCTGCTTCAGGTTCTCACTCCAGGCTTCCTTAACATTTCCTCAGACTGCCCAACTGGCTCTGAAACAGCACTGAGCTTAGCTTTATATATCCTTCAGCCAGGACCTCCAACCAATCAACATGTTTCTGCTAGATTCAAAACCTATAATTATGGGCCAATAGATTTGAATGGAATGTCCGCTATAGAAGTGAGAGCTGGACCATAAAGAAGGCTGATCGCCAAAGAATTGATGCATTTGAATTATGGTGCTGGAGGAGACTTGAGAGTCCCACGGACTGCAAGAAGATCAAACCTATCCATTCTTAAGAAAATCAGCCCTGAGTTCTCACTGGAAGGACAGATCCTGAAGCTGAGGCTCCAATATTTTGGCCACCTCATGAGAAGAGAAGACTTCCTGGAAAAGGCCCTGGATGTTGGGAAAGATGGAGGGCACAAGGAGAAGGGGACAACAGAGGACGAGATGATTGGATAGTGTCTTCGAAGCTACTAACATGAGTTTGACCAAACTGCGGGAGGCAGTGGAAGACAGGAGTGCCTGGCGTGCTCTGGTCCATGGGGTCACGAAGAGTCGGACATGACTAAACAACAAAACTGACTACTTAGATGCTACTGCCCCATACATAAAAGTTGAAACCTTGCCTGCACATCGCTGTAACCTTATAAACAGTGGGCAACTGTGACAGTTTGACTGCCAAATGGCAGGCTGCCAGCAGAATTCATATGCTATGTACTATGTATATATTATTTGACTCTAGCCTGGAGCAAAAGACAAGGGTTTTCTTCTTTACGCAGTTAAATATGTATGCCAAACAGTATTTTATTATACATTATTTAACAAAATTTATATATTGCTTAATTCTAAATAAAACCTCGAAGCAGTTTTACCACCACCATATCATTAAAACAAAGTTTCTCTACGCAGGCAATTACTTTTATCTCCACACCTCCAATTTTGCCACACAGAGTCATTCCAAATGCTCAGGGACTTCTGACAAGTCTTGTAGTGGTAGCAAAAAGCACCATCTAATTCCACCATTTCTGCTGGTTAGCAGGTATAGAAGTCAGTCAGTAGACCAGATGACTATTTCTATTATCAGAAAACGTCTCAAATTAGAAAACTTGAAGTGTAAGTTCTCTTTACACCAAAACTTGGGACACTCAGCTGCAACTAATCCATCAATAGTACTCAACTCTTCAGAGACTATTTCTTCTAAATGCTTCCATTTGGAATGCAATTTAGTTAAAGCTGGTTTATTACACCTCTGGTGGGCATGCTCTAAAGCCGTGGTTCCCAATAAGCTAAGTGCTGCAGACCCCCTGTTTTTCAAAAGCCAAGCCATGGACCCTTTACTTTTGGAAATGTTGATATCTCTATCCCAGTTGGGAACCACTGCTCTAAGGCACAAGCTTTCTAAGATATGGTTCTACATTTCATAACATGAATTAAACTTTATATAATCTGATGTTTGCCTTAGTGTGATTTAGATGTAATCAGGAGGAAGGACAACCAACTTATTATTAGTTTGTTGATTGCAACTATTTAGACAGTAAACTAGAAAGTGAGAACACTACTCAGTAAGAGAGATTGGATGTAGAAGATTATATATTTTGTGTTCTCATTTTGTATTTTTATGTTGTGAACTGCCCTGTGATCTTCTGATGAAGGGTGGTATACACATTTTAATAATAATAATAACAACAATAATTCATTATTCTCAGTGAGAAAAAGATTCAAAGCCCAGTGGTGGCAATTATATTTGAAACCATGGAGACAAGACTTGCAAAAGACCCCATAGTTCAAGCATATCCCTTCCATCATTTTTTCAAACACTTTTACTTACCCTCAGCACAAATATGCTTATCCATATTTAGCTATGCCTTTCCTTTCTGCCACAATACTCTTTTGCTTCCAGATTTGCAAGCAATCAAGATTTTTGATTCAGAATAAATGCCTACAGATTAGGTGCCTTTATGCAAAATAAAGACACTGCGTAATCTTTTTTTTGTCAGAATTTGGGAGTTCTTTGGTACACAATATGAAAAGCCTACAATATATCTCCTCAGCTGAATGAGTTTTTATTGTACTCTGCAAAACGCTGCTTAGTAATTTTACTTTAACATAGTTAAGCCATTTTCCTGGTTCTCAAAATTGTCACAACACAGGAATTTTTTTAACACTCGCAGCCTACTTTTGTGTGTGTTGTATGTGTGTGCATATACAACTTGTCTGAAGAAAGCAAATCTTATCATCAATGTAGAATTCAATTAAAAGTTTCTGCTTTTGCCTTCCAAGAAAACAGTGCCATTTGCAATAAGGAATTTGAATACCGGATCAATCATACCAAAATGCTTTCATCAAGAGAATGACAAGACATAAAACTTACTTGGCTTTTTGAATCCAAACGCAGTAATCTGTGATATAAAGGTCATTAAGAATATATGCAGGATCATTTTCTCGAAAAATCTTGTGAATATCTAACAGACACTTCAGAACTGCACTTTTGCCTGTAAGAGAGGAAACCATATGAACACATTTACATTTTTTATCCCCACCAGCCAGTCCTTATAAAACTCTCCTACTTGAAAATTTGGATGGAAGTTGACTGAACACCTTATCAGTAACATGCTATTAGTTGCAGCAAATTATCCCTTTAGGATAAATCAGTGGTTCATGACAACCTGAGAAGATTGCAGATTGCCAGCATAGTAAAACCCCTGTTTACATGTCAGGATTAAGGAAGAAGAGCAAAACTTTAGCAGGCTGGTTCACACATAATGCAAAAACACTTGAAATAGTGGTTTAAAACAACCTCTGGTTTGAAGGTGGCTCGTTTAGGAACTGAAGGAAGCAAAAGAAGAGGCGAAACCTCAAAATGGTACTCAAAGGTAAATCTTCATCCAGTAATAATAGTCCTTGCGGGGTGTAAAACAATTAAATGTACTATGTGGTTTGGTTGAAGATAGTCTTCCTCAAAGTTACATGGTACAAGGTTCTCCTGTCAAGGCAGCGTTTTCACACACACACACCCATCCCCATTTGTTCTCCCACAGGAGGCTTACTTCTTGCCCTCGAGTATTTTTGCCTGGCTGGAATATGCCCTTGAATTCTTGGCTGTGTACATATGCAAGTGTGTGCCAATACTAGCCCACTGTACAAAGGAAAAAATTGCCTCTGGCCACATCCACTCTTGGTACCATTGGCAGATGGTCCCCCAGAAAGTTGCCCAGATGACAATGTGGCCGTCAGTCTGAAAAAAGCTCCCCAGTCCTGCCTTAAAGGGGCAAGAGAATAGAAACTTGGTTTTTCCATTACACATTGAGAGTAAAGGCTACATCTTGTTTTGAGGGTTTTTTTGAATGTCAGCACAGGTGCCTAGATATTAATGAAATGCTCAGTTTCTCATAAGGTAACAAACAAGACCAGTTCCTGCAATTTGGCAGACTGCTGCTATTACAGGTAAGGCACCATCTCAAGACTCCTGTGTGCAGAAAAACGAAGCAAGCTTTTAAAGTGAATGAGAGCCCAGTTATACAGCAACGTTAAATTGATTTCTGAAGCACGAGACCTCTGCACTGAACAGCTTCAACCCACTTCTCCACCATCACTTCCTGTTCTCCAGAGGATTTTTCTTCCGCAAAAAGCAATGCTAAAAGTTCAAATATATCATGAAATGCTCATGGGCCGGTGGGGAGAATACAAACCTACGATTTGTCAGCATAAGCACCTGAATGAAAGAGGGGTAGGGTGGCAGCTTTCAAAGACTTTGAGCCTTGTTCTCCCTTGTAACTCCACATCAGAGTCTGAAAGGGATAAGTAATGGGCGATGTGACAAATCAAATGCTCCTTGGTTGTATTCGACTCAAAACTCCCTCTGCTGTCAAAGATCCCATGACTTGGAATATCTCCAGCTGGGAGAGATTGAAACGGAACAGAATAGGTAAAAGGTTTGCAGAGAAGGAATGTGCTATAAAACAAAGTCCAGGGCTCCCTGCTCCCTGCAGCGTGGGGAAGAAGCAAGCTAGTGAGAGAACACATGCACAAAGCTGCAAGTCAATTACGGGCCTAAGAACTAACGAGAAAACTTTGCTCTCCATTGGATTAGAGCTATTATGCCTGCCCTCCTCTCCACCCTAAAGCTTACTGCTGGAAAGTTGTGGAAATCAAAATTTGGCCTACATACATGAGAAAAAGTAATTGTTTTAATCATAGGCATTATTCCTAATTAGACACACTGCTTGAAGTTATGGTTTTTCAGATACATTGCCAAAGAGGCATCTAAAACAGCCGTTAGCAGAATCTGGAGGAACAAGACTATTCAGATACCGATATACTAAAAACATGGCTGATCACGACTTTGTGCTCTAGGGCTGCATTCAGCCCTCATTTACTCAGCTGAAATTATTGGCCATAATTAACATTATGGGCCATCAATTTCAAAGGGTCTCCTACAAGCAGAAGTTAGCTGAACACAACCCCTAGTCTTTCGTACAAGATCCTTTCCAACAGGGAGATTTATTTGTTTACTTGTAGAAACATCCTGCTTTTCTGAAGGCTGTAGAACAGGTTCCCAGACTGCCTCCCATCTAGGTACTGGCCAGACCCAGAACTGCTCGATTTAAGCAGAGTTAATGCCTCATGTGCCTTTGCAGTGATGCTGAGGCTAGTCCAAATAGCTTCTAGCCCAGTAAAGATACAGATCATGGGGATTAAACCCCGTTGAAAGCGATGCAGTGCACCATTACAGCAAACCTTAGCTAGGTTTGGGCCTTAGACACTGCAAGTTAAACAGGCTGTTTTTAAAATGCAGCCAGAACCTACCACACGTCTCTAACAAAAATGCAAACGTATCTCTCCACCCACCACCCCGGTTCCAAATCAGCACTGTGGTGCAGAGAGATTCCGTCCCCCCGCCTCAGAGGCCCCTCTCCTACTGAGAATGCGCAGTCCTCTTTTGGTGCGCCTTCGCCCTGGATGTTTTTCTCTCTAAATATTTTTGTACTTTTGCAAACACTGAGGTTCATCCAAGCCTGGTGATCCACTCCTCTTGTGCGCAGATGTTGCTCTAGCTAAAGAAGGATTCAGAGAGAGTGACTTTGCGATTAAGAAGATTGGCAACCAACATGAATGTTCCAAACGTTGTTAGGCTACAACTCCTACAATTCCCATCCACTGGCTGTGCTGCTGGGAGCCTGTTGGCTATGCCAAGACAGGATGTACAGTGGTACCTCGGGTTACATACGCTTCAGGTTACAGACGCCGCTAACCCAGAAATAGTACCTCGGGTTAAGAACTTTGCTTCAGGATGAGAACAGAAATTGCGCTCTGGCGGCGCGGCGGCAGCAGGAGGCCCCATTAGCTAAAGTGGTGCTTCAGGTTAAGAACAGTTTCAGGTTAAGAACGGACCTCAGGAACAAATTAAGTACTTAACCCGAGGTACCACTGTATTCTAAAAAGATATCAGGACAAAACCACCAGCTTGGTATCAACACATTTTAAGAAGTAAGATACCAAACGCTTGAGGTGAATTGCCAGGCAGGTAGCTACACAAAGTCATGCAACAAGTGAGGTATGTTTTCAGGTTGGATACGTTCCATCTCTGGGATCAGGAGTTTGAACCAAATGTTCAGCCAAGATCAAATGCTGCTGGTATGTCCCTTTTAGTAAACTGTTGGAACTCAAAACACATTTTAATATTTTGTTGCCTGAACAATAAACACACCTAAGATTTCATTTCCTGTTACGAAAGCTCATGAACCAGGCCTGGCATCCTAAGCCAATCAGTATTTCAAGGCAGCAAGCTCCTTTAAAATAAATGGGATTTGCTTCGTAGAAGATGGATTTGGATCTAGTGCATAGATATACAAAGAACCTAGGGAGAATGGGAAAGTGAGCCAGAACACATACATCACCTACTTTTATCAAACGTAGTAGTAGTAGTAGTAGTAGTAGTAGTAGTAGTAATTCATTTAAACCCTGCCCATCTGGCTGGGTTTCCCTAGCCACTCTGGGCAGCGTCCAACAAAATATAAAAAATACATTAAAACATCAGTCATTAAAAACTTCCCTAAACAGGGCTGCCTTCAGATGTCTTCTAAAAGTCAGGAACAGTAGTTGTTTATTTCCTTGACATCTGGTGGGAGGGCGTTCCACAAGGTGGGCGCCGCCACCGAGAAGGCCCTCTGCTTGGTTCCCTGAAACCTCCCTTCTCGCAGGGAGGGAACCGCCAGAAGGCCCTCAGAGCTGGACCTCAGTGTCTGGGCTGAACGATGGGGGTGGAGATGCTCCTTCAGGTATATTGGGCCGAGGCCATTTAGGGCATGTTAGGACAGCACCAACACTTTGAATTGTGCTCAGAAACGTACCGGGAGCCAATGTAGGTCTTTCAGGACCAGTGTTATGTGGTCTCGGCGGCTGCTCCCAGTCACCAGTCTAGCTGCCACTGCTAGTTATCTAGATCAAACAGAATCCTTACACGTGGAAACAAACTAAATACATTCTTCCTACCGTAGCTGAAAGCATGTTTTAGCTATACAGGTTGCAGAAGAACATCTGCAAAATTCACAAAATGCATCTGAGCTACTTAATTAATCTATTTTTACACCAGCTCTCTCTTCTAGTTTACTAATTATGTCAAAAGCCATTTTAATATTTCATGTCCTACTAACTCGCTAATCAAATGCTTATCAAATTCAACCGAGCTTGTACATGCTGCCTTTTAAAATTAGATCTAACACGACATGAGAGGAAGGAAAAGTGTTAACATGTCAATGTCCTGCTGATCAAAGGACACGGAGCCATAATGCACTAACATATTTTGTTCCCAAGACAAAAGTCTGCACACACACACAAAAAGGCTCAGGGACCTGGATTCTTTTGTAGTGTTTCCCTAGCAACAGTGAAACTTTTAAAATTCCAAGTTTAAATAGTAATTTAGAGCTCTGGCACAAGAGCTGCTGTGAAAGGCATACTGCCTCCCATATAGCCACTGCTTTTGCTACTCATGTTTGCTACTTGGCCTGAAGATTACAGGGTCGGGTCATCCACTCTCAATACCGTGCAAGAATGCTTCTCATAGGTTAGTCAATTCAAACGCCCATCCTAAGCCCAAGCACAGATAGACAACAGACACCTCTTGAGCCTTTTCATTGAAGAATACTGAAGTGCAGTTTCTATAACATGACTAATGCAAAATATTTATCCCATCTTGCTTGCACTTCTCACCCCAGACCACCACTACAGTCCTAACCTTCAGTAGCCAAGAGAGGCCTTCTTGTACTCTTAAGAATGCTAGGTTCCCATTCAAAAAAGAAGTTCTAACCCACATAGCTGCAGAATGGTGGTCCCATGTTTCTGGAACACCCTCCCTAGGAAGGTATGCGTGTCCCCTACAATGCTGTCTTTAAAACAAGCTTTGAAGACCTCCTTATTGCAAGCTTTTAAAATCAGTATTTGGGACTGGATGAATTGTTTTGTCTGTGTTAAAACTGAAAGGTTCTTTTTCTGTAATTTTTTTAGGATCTCAACTTCTTTTAAAAAACAGGTTTCATTTAAGTATTTTTGTCCACTCTTGGGCATATTGCAAATGTCAGTGGTTTATTCCTCTAATTGTAGATAAATGTGGGCAGGATTACACCCATTACTTATAGAAACGACAGGCTTTCAGTGCACGAGTATTGACATTTTAATGCCAATTATTACTCACTTCCACACATAATACTACATTTGTAGTAATTATCTTTACACACCATTATTAGGACTATTCTTCCAACTTATTTAGTCAAATAACGTGTCATTAAGTTCTCTCAAAGCATCTGGAAAATCATTATCGATCATGCTACGCACTCTTCCTTTCTCCAATGAAATAGTACAAGTGGACGTGGTTAAGACCTCATTTTTGTCAACTATACACTCAAGCCCAAGTTATTTAAATTCCAACCACAACTCCAACAATCAATCAACTGAGCCAATCACATTTCATCTTAACAATGGTTTCCTGGGTAACTTTACACAATCAAAGGAAAGCATTTGCCAGTATGGAAAGAATTAAATCAGTTCCTTTTTGACTTTTTACAATGCTTAAAAAAAACACAAAAACCCCCACAACCCACAGTTGAACATTATGAAGAGTAGAGAGACTGGGAGACTCAAAGGGGTACAGTGATATTTTGGTTCCACCTAGTTCATTCAACAGAAGGCTTTGCTCATTGTTACAGGTGGGTTTCAACAACACACTGGGTGTCACTCAACTAAGCATTACTCAGAAGAGACCTACTGAAATTAATGGAGTTGACACAGTCATCTTTATTAATTTCAATAGGTCTACTGTGAGTAAAACTTAATGGATTATCACCCACTGTCAGAATTTGCTACGAGCCAAATGGTCCGAGACATTTCCATTCAATGTATATTCAGGATTATCTGTAGACAAAGGATCTCATGAGGCTCAACACAGGGACAAATCCTACTGCACCGTAGACAACAGTTGGTTGGTTGGTTGCCTTGCTTTTTTTCTTGTTTTTTAAACAAGCAAATCATATACCATGACATGTACTATGGTGATCTGTTTTAACTGTTGCATTTTTATTATACTGGTTGTAAAGTGCTTTGATTTTTTAAATGAAATTGCAGCTTAGAAATATTTTCATAAATAACTTCTGAAAATAAAACAGTATGTAACAGCTAACTGAATTAAACCTGACTTTTAAAATCAATTAAAGGTAAAGGATCCCTGATAGTTAAGTCCAGTTGTGAATGACTCTAGGGTTGTGGCGCTCATCTCGTTTTACTGGCCAAGGGAGCCGGTGTTTGTCCGCAAACAGTTTTTCTGGGTCATGTGGCTAGCATGACTAAGCCGCTTCTGGAGAATCCAGAGCAGTGCACAGAAACGCCGTTTACCTTCCCGTCGGAGCAGTACCTATTTATCTACTTGCACTTTGACGTGCTTTTGAACTGCTAGGTTGGCAGGTGCTGGGACGGAGCAACAGGAGCTCACCCTGTTGCGGGGATTCGAACTGCTGACCTTCCGATCGGCAAGCCCTAGGCTCAGTGGTTTAGACCACAGCGACACTGGTGTCCCCATAAAAAGATTGATTAGGCTATGACAATTCAGTATAAAATAGATTTGCGCTGCAATCGCGCTCGTGTTGACTCAAAAATAAGACTTACTCCTAGGCAAATACTGCAGCCTTAAGAATGTTTATAAACAGAAATAAAATGATACATTAAATTCCTAAAAAGATGCCCAATAAATAAACCCAGACTCCTTGTAAAGTTATCTAAAACTATGCCTTTGTGAACAAATGTGTTCACCACACACAAATACCCAACTAATTTGCCATAGCCAAACTGTAAAGATAAAACTTAATATCTTACCAAGTTGTAATATCGTAATGGTGTCATTTAAGGCCCGAGTCACTAAACTGAAGTGTCGGTAGAGTGGATAACACATAACTCTTCTCCCAAAGGACATCAGAACTTCCGAAATGCTAGTAAAACTCTGCGTGGAACAAATATTTTTAAAGGCCACAATTACTAGTGGAGAAAACACGTTTACAGTGGTACCTCGGGTTACAGGTTGTTACTTTCCTATGAAATTACAGGCAGTGTTGTCTTGCCAATGAAATTCCCATTCGGTTTCATATTGGAAAGCCCCTAAGCCTCATCTACAGGCCCCATACTACCATCCCCACAGTTCAACAGGCTACAGGGCATATACCCTGATTAACCGAAATAAGCAAGGCTATTAAGTTAACATTCTAAAAACGTCAAGGAGGAATATATTTGCCAATGTCCTGTAAAACGCAGCAAATCATCTGCCCCTTCTGTTCTGGCCACGATGGCAGAGCAATTATCGGAAGCTCTTATTGAGCAGAGTCTTACTTTCGCTTTACTTGACTGATGCTCTCAGCACAAGGACCTCTATTGATTTTATGTTAACTAATATGCCTGAAATCTAAAATATCAGGCTTCTTGTCATCTAACCGGGGAATTAATATATCCCCGCAGCCTAAAAGGAAAAGAAATACCTTCCATCCATTAAGTTTTACAATTGGGATTTATTCATAAATGGGTCCACTCCTATGAGAGACTCTGATTAATTCACATTTGCACGATACTCATAGGGTGAACTTATACAGGTATTCTCTTCCTTACTCCCATGCTACAGTTACGTTGTTCGAAGAGAACACAGCTATCCCCTAATACCCTTTTCAAATTAAAAAGGAACAACATATTAGAGAATGGAGCAGCTTCAACAAGCAATATACCTTAAGAGTCCTTTTGAAAGAGCAAATATGTTTGCCATTCTCCACTAAGAGTAAAATTAAAATCTGGGCAAACTGCCTAATAAGAGAAATATTCTTAACTGTTTTGTAGCTAGCTATCTCGATTTGAGGCTAATCCTTCCAGGACAGGCCATCTCCCAAACTCTTGAATCCAAGAACTTGGAAGACGTAACAGGATTCTGCTTCAATTTATTGGCCCACATCCAGCCCAAGCAGTCTAGCACCTGAATTGCCTTCCATAATTCGGATGGATGAATAGATGGAGCTGGGTATCATTTGCATACTGAGGACACCCCACTCCAAATCTCCTGATGACAGCTCCCAGCAGTTTCAGTGAAGATGGTAAATAGTACAGATGACAAGGTGGACGTTTGTGAGATGACTACTTTCTTGAAACAGCCTTGAAGGTAGGAGTAGAACCAATGTAATACAGTGGCCCAAAAGGAGATTCCGACTAAACATCCGAAAAACTTTATGACAGTAAGAGCTATTCGATGGTGGAATGGTCACCTATGGGAGGCTTTGGATTCTCCTTCCTTGGAGGTTTTTAAGCAGAGGTTGGAGACGGTCATCTGCCATGGACACTTTAGCTGAGATTCCTGCATTGCAGGGGGTTGGACCAAACAGCCCTTGGGGTCCCTCCCAACTCTTCAATTCTCTGGTTCTATCACTTCCAGAGCCACTCCAGAAGGGTACTACTGTCAACACTATCTAAAGCTGCTGAGAGATCAAGGACAATGAGCAGGCTCACACGCACTCTTTCTCTCCCAGCAAATGCCATCAGTCAGGGCAACAAAGGCAGTTTCAGTGTCATGACCAGGTCTAAAACCAGAATCGCCCTCTCAAGTCCTTTGTCCCCAAAGGGGATTTTCACTCCTGTACAATAGTAGTTACAACTGGTCTAGGGAGGTCTTCTTAAGAAGGGAAATCCCTGTTTTCAATCTGGTTGTATTCCCAAAGTTTTAAAAGATAGTACAACAATACAAATGAAGTTGCAAGTAGAGATGGCATTGGGAGAACCAATAAAATACTACTAATAAAAAGCCCACCTAAGAAGAAATGTCCACTTCAGAAGGGATAGGGTGAAAGGTAGCAGTAAACCTTTTCCAGATATGCCTCTGTTTAAGATGTATTGCCCTATCAATAAACTTGTTATAATTCATCTTACCTCCAGCCAGCACAGAGTTGAACTCAGCTTTCGTATGTTCCATGGAGACTCAACCTGAGAAGGAGGAGTTCAGGAAACCAAATTAGAACACAACACTGTGTTTGTAAAAAGAAACCATTTGCACAGGAACTAAGAAACTGAAAACTGCAAAATATATTGGTTCAATTAAAGCACATTTAGATCTCCTCCATATATTTGCAGATACTATCCAACTTCAGTTGCTCTCCCCTCCACCCTCTGTATATTTTGGTGTTAGACATTAAAGAACCATGATTTGGGGTGGGGGGGAGAGATAATTTAGAGTTGGAGCACCTAGGTCAGTACTATCTCCCTGAACATGTGTGGCATGTCCATTTCTGGACCTTTATTTCTCCTTACCCTCTATGCACTGTGAACATTTTCCATCAGCCAGTGCTCTGGCTTGAGTCTCTGTTCCAAGTCTTACCTGTCTACACACATCCAGATTTTCTAGGTCCTAGTGCTTCTTCAATCCTCCTCCCACCCAAACCTGCACCTCTAGCTCTCTGACTCCAAAGATTGTGTTCCCAGGTAGCCCACAACAGATCTCCCCAAACGGGCAGTGGAAATGCCCATGTTGTTCTTAAGCACAGAACCACTAGACCAGGATATGCTACAGAAGACTTGGTGCCTTGCCTCAAGAACAGTAATTCTCAACAAATAATCTTTGCTTCCAACAAAATAATGCTCCTGAGTCTAGAAAGCATCCAAGAAAACCTGTCTCCCACAAAAGAAAAATATAATAAAATAATTCAACATGTGGACAATGAAGATCCCTCAGCTGTTAGCTGTAAAATCATTTCCTCCTCCTTTCCTCTACTGCTAAATACAGCTCAGCAGAGTTGCCGTAGCAGCATCCAAGAGAGAGAGCAAGAGAAGAGAATACCTCACACTTTGGACTGTTAATTTCAAACAGCTGCCTGGCAAACCACCCTAGTGATATAGCATTTCGATCCTGCGCTTTCAACGCCAGGAACAAAGTCCGCTTTAAAAGCCCTGCCTCCCAGATGACAGAGAAATTCCCTGTAGCTATTCTAGCAGATCCACTTCACTGAAGTTTCATACAGGGGAGTAGAGGGGAGGAACTCACATTCTTCTCTCCTTCAGCGGCACAGACTTCATAGCAATAAGCCAGAAGTATATCAACTAAGCTCAGATATACTTGATGACAGGTTCTTTTATCAAGCAGGAAAGTTCTGTTGGTGAATTTTCTTAGCTGCTCTTTCTCATCTTCTGTAAAGGAAACTAAAAAAAAACAAACCCCCCCCCACACACACAGAGGTTATTTTAACACACCACATCCATAGCCGCACTAAAAACCACATACTTTGAATTAACAAGGGTAGTATTGATGAGAACTTCTTCCCAAGCCCCAGAATTACTCCTGTGTTAAGTTCAGAATTAACCATTTGGCTTCTGCAGCACCTGCTTGCCTGCATCCATTCAGAATTAACAGAAGTTTCCTTCTCAACTTGCACCACATGCAGTCAAAAAAGCTGCAGCTATTCCATTCTCTTGTATACAGGGACATATGTCTTCTTACACCCCGCCCACCTGACTGGGTTGCACCAGTCACTCTGGGCGGCTCCCAACAAAAATACAAAGCAAAACATAAAATAAGAATAAAACATTAAAAGCTTCCCGAAACAGGCCTGCCTTCAGATGTCTACTAAATTTATACAGTTGTTTAACTCTTTGACATCTGGTGGAAAAGGCCCTCTGTTCGGTTCCCTGCAATTTCACTTCTCGCAGTGAGAGAACCACCAGAAGGCCCTCAGAGCTGGACCTCAGTGTTCAGGCAGAACGATGGGGGTGGAGACACTTCCACAGATATTCAAAGTGTGTAATTTTTTAAAAAATAAACCCACTCTTCAGAGCAGTGGGTCTTCTTGGTAGTGGCACCCTCCCTCCCATCAAATGTCAAGGAAATAAACAACTATCTGACTTTTAAAAAACATCTGAAGGCAACCCTGTATTGGGAATTTTTTTATGTCTAATGTTTTGCAATTTTTAATGTGCTGTAAGCTGCCCAAAGTGGGCATAAATAATAAATTAAATAATAATAATAATAATAATAATAATTAATAATTTTAAAAAGACAGTTCCTGTACTCAGGTTTACAATCTGAAAGGCACAATGCTTAGAAGAAAAGGGCATGGGGAGGGAGGAAGTTGAAAACAAACTCGGGTACCCGTTTTTCAAATTACAGAGTAGTGTCCAACTAACTTGTTCCATCACTGGAAGGATTTCCACTTGTGTAACACAACTCCCGTTAACCTCCACCATCACGCACCCCCCCCAAAAAAAAACACCAGTTACATAGTTTCCCCAACCTTTTGGAGGGGAGGGAACAAGGCACACCTGGGGAGACAGAGAAGAGGGGCAAAGTCCCACCATGGAAGGTAAATCCCTGTGCTGAGGGAACAAGTTCACTGGATACTGCCCACAAAACTCTTATAAAGAATCGGCTCAAATGGAGATAGCTGAGGGAAAGGAGGAACCGAAGGTCAAGAGAGCTGATGGAGTGTCCCTCCTTCCCATCTCTCCCTCTGCTATTGCCAGGCAAAATGGCTGCTCCTCGGTGGCAGCTGAGAGAGAGAACACACCAGAGGCAGTTTTGCCTAAAAGCAGAGGATGTGGTAGCAAAGCTCCTGGCAGCAAGGAAGATGTAACACTTAGGGTCAGGCAAGGAATGTGGCTCAATGATGGGAGAGCATGTTAAGCTCCCCAGGTTCAAGCACCCCAGCACTTTTTAGCAGTCCTAGAAAAAGCACTCCCTTTCTGAAACCCTGGAAAACAGCTGCCAGTCAATGGGAAAAATACTAAGCTAGATGGACCGTCGGTCTGTCCTATGTCATTTGCCTTAGATCAAATGAAGCAGAACCACATTATACAAAACATATCTGAGTCTGCTAGTGATCAACAAGTCAGGCTAGCAGTCGATTCCCTAATGCAAGACCTTTGATAGATGACTAATGCAAATGTTTTAGATTTTAAAGACATCCCTTCAAGACGTGTTCCACCCTCGCTTCAAAACTTATTGTAGTTGTCAATTATTTTGAAATCTAGACTGGATAAAGATTGCTCCCTTTAAAGAGTCAATGCAAGTACTTTCAGGTATATCCCTTTGAATGTAAATGGCGTCAATAGTTGAGTGAAGGGGGAGGGGGGTAAAAACACAGACCAGGCTCTGATTCTTTTCTTCTAACAGACGTATGAAACAGCATAGCAATTATCTGAAGAAGATGAAAATTAGAAATGCACATGCAGGTTGTATTAAAACTAAAAATCAAAACGTGCAGCAATAACTGAACTGCAGAGGCGATTTTAAGTTGATAGAGATAAGGAAAGATGCTAATAGAAGGGATATTCTGATTAAAGGACATCTAGAGGAAGAAAAAATTATTTTTGTATGTGTGCATGTCAGCACGCCTGCAATTTTTGTTGCTGGGGCATCCCAGTTTAGCACTTTGTGCATTCAAGTGAATGCCTCAATGAAGATCTAAAGGTAAAGGGACCCCTGACCATTAGGTCCAGTCGTGGACAACTCTGGGGTTGCGGTGCTCATCTCGCTTTATTGGCCGAGGGAGCTGGCGTACAGCTTCTGGGTCATGCGGCCAGCCTGACTAAGCTGCTTCTGGCAAACCAGAGCAGTGCACGGAAACCCCGTTTACCTTCCTGCCGGAGCGGTACCTATTATCTACTTGCACTTTGTGCTTTCGAACTGCTAGGTTGTCAGGAGCAGGGACTGAGCAATGGGAGTTCACCCAGTTGCGGGGGATTCGAACTGCCGACCTTCTGATCGGCAAACCCTAGGCTCTGTGGTTTAGTTACATCTAAATTCTTTCAAGGACTAATAATACTACTAATAATTTTATTATTTATATCCCACCCATCTGGCTGGGTTGCCCCAGCCACTCTAGTAATACTGAGATATATCCAAACATATTATCAAACCATTCTCAAATGAAATGAAATAAATACCTTAACAGATTGGAGAACTGGGCCAAAACAAAAAATGAATTTCAGAAGGGAGAAATGTAAGGTTCTGCACTTAAGCAGGAAGAACCAACTGCACAAATATAAAATGGGGGACACTTGGCTTACCAATGGTACATGTGAAAAGGATCTCAGGATCTTAGTAGACCACAAGCTTAATATGAGTTCACACCAGCAAAAAAAAAGCAGAGGGAAGCCAATGCTATTCTAGGCTGTGTCAAGTGTAGTGTCAAAATCAATGGAAGTAATAGCACCACTCTATTCTGCCTTGCTCAGACCACACCTGCCAGTTCTGGGCACCACAATTTAAGAAGGATGTTGACAAGCTGGAACCTGTGCAGAGGAAGGAAGTCAAGATGATAAAGGGTCTGGAAACCAAGCTTTATGAGGAACAGTTGAGGGAATTGGGTATTGGGTATGTTTAACCTGGATAGGAGAAGACTGGGAGGAGATATGATAGCTATGTTCAAATAGCTAAAAGGCTGTCACATGGTAGATGGTGAAGCTTGTTTTCTCCTGCACCGGAGGGTAGGACTCAAACCAATGAATTCAAGTTACAAGAAAGGAGATTCCAACAAAACATCAGGAAGAACTTTCCGACTGCAAGTGCTGTTTAACAGTGGAACGGACTCCCTTTGAAGATGGTGGGAGTATCTTTCTTTTGAAGTTTTTAAGCAAAGGTTGGATGGCCATCTGTCATGGTTGCGTTGAGATTCCTGCATTGCAGGGGTTGAACTAGATGACTCTCAGGGTACGTTCCAACTCTACAATTCTATGATCCTATCATTCATTTATACTGCAGAAGAAAGAAATCAATCCAGAAGGGGTAGAAAAATTGAGTTTCTCCTCCCTTAGGTTTAGAGATTAATCTGAAGAAACACAGTTCGTATGTTTCTTACAGATACATATTCCTCTCCATTCCTCCTGGCCTCGTTCCAAACCATGTATGTGCCCGTCTAGGACTGCCATTTATGCATCTGATAAAATGAGATGAAAGCTGCTGCTGTAGTAAATTTGTCCGTCTTTAAGACTCAGTTTGCTGTCCTTTAGGACAAGCAATTATAGTGACCCAAACTAATTGCCATGAGTGGCAATGACAAAACCTATACTTTCTTATACAGTGGTACCTCTGGTTACGTACTTAATTCTTTCTGGAGGTCCGTTCTTAACCTGAAACTGTTCTTAACCTGAAGCACCACTTTAGCTAATGGGGCCTCCCACTGCCGCCGCGCGATTTCTGTTCTCATCCTGAAGCAAAGTTCTTAACCTGAGGTAATATTTCTGGGTTAGCGGAGTCTGTAACCTGAAGCGTATGTAACCCGAGGTACCACTGTACTACACTAGAGCAAGTGCCTCTGGTATGAAAGATGAGGTGCTCTATTTCCTCAAGATCAGGGATGAGGAATCAGTTCCCTCCAGCCGCTGTTGAACTCCAATTCCCATCAGACTCAACCACCATGGCCCAAAGGTTGGGGGTGATAGGAGCTGAAGTCTAAACAATATCTGGAGGGGCAGTTTCCCCACTTCCACTTTAGGGCAGCAACAAAAAGGCAAGCAATCATAATGGTGTGGAAACATGGCACTCAAGGAAGCAGAATCCATACCTAGACCTTTACTTCGTACCACATGGACCATCACCTCAGCCTTACAGGATAGTCACATGTGCAACCTGGTCTGGGCCACATCAATCTGTGGCCATAACTTTTAGGGCCTTTCCGAAATCCCTTTGCCTATCATTGTCACAAAAGACATCTGAATGTCTGGGATGTAGAACAATAACCCTTTCATTGAATCCAAGGACCTAATAAATAAGAGTGAGACTTATTATATCCCACATATATCTACTCTAAAGTAAATCCCACATATATCTACTCTAAAGTAATTCCCACCAAGTTCCAAGGAAGCTTACTCCCAGGAAAGCAGGCATAGGATTGGAGCCATAGATGCAAAGGGAAAGACGAGGCCTTAAAAGAAAAAAAGCATCATTTTTCTTCTCCTATAAAAGGAAATCGGAGACTGATCGCTAGTAAGCATGATAGATTACAAGGAGACAAAATAAATTACCTCAGAGCATGTAAATGATACATTAAATGCATGTGGCTGCCTACGCTTATGAAGACTGCTTGTCGCCTAAAACAGAGCTTTAGAATTCTGCATTGTGAAACCAAATAAAAATGAACTGCTGTTAGGCAAGCCAAACGTGACTTTTAAAAGAAGTTAAATCCTTTCACCTGACATTTGGGGACCAAGGCTTCAGTTTGGGGAGCAAAGCTAGCCATTTCCTTCCCCCAACCCCATGAGAAAAGCCAAGTAATTAGTTAAGCTTATGTAAAGAATTTGTTTGACTTGCTTTGCATAATGGAACGAAAGGAAATTTCGGCCTGTCAGTGAAAGGAATGAAGCGCCCTCTACTGGAGGGATACTTGGTCACAAAGCCAAAAATGATGGCGGCCTGCACCACACTCTTATTTCTGCTGACTTTTTTGAGGGGTGGGTGTCTTTTCAGCAGCCTGGTATAGGAAGGCTGGAGCAGAAAGAAGCATAGGAAGAAGGGGCAAGGAAGCAAACAGATGCATCGCACAAAGGCTAAAGCAGCTAAGAGCTGTGATAGGCACACATCCTGTCTCAGAATTTGGAAATAAAGTATAGCAAATCAAGCAAACCAAAAATGCAAAAAAAAATAATAATCAAAAAAATCAAAGATAAACTATGTTTTGTTTTGAATATGACTTATAAGAAAGTCTGTAAGTGTTGTAATCTAATGCAAGTGGGTTCATGCTTTTGGCTGCAGGTTCCAAAAGGAAAAAATGTTGTTATCTGATATAATCAGCCCTTGCATTTCTTTCTGGAAATATTAAAGCCTCTGCAGTTACAGTGACTGTTATCAATAAAGAGAATTTACAAAAGCAATCCATTTTTTTTAAAAAAAATGCCATTTGCTTTATTTCAGCGCCGCAGATAACCATTCAAAATGTCACCTATACAATTGTATTACATGACATGGGTGCAATACCTCTTCTGAAGAGTAAATCTCACCACATAGCAATACAGTAAGAATTTCATCTATTATAAAATGAGTCAGGTTCAGATTCATTTTATTATTAAGCACTGCGATACAGCAGGGAAGACAGGTGTCATGCATTTTTAAAGCCTTATTCTTAACAGCCCTTCTTCAGATTTTACCTGCATCAAGGTTACACACTGTAAGAATTATGAGGGACCTCACAAGCCCTGTTTCAACTTATTTAACTGCCAGAAGTTAAATGCTCATCCATTTCCTCTCTAGAGTCTCCATGGAAGAACGATCCATGACTTCCATTGGTAAACACCCCCTCTAACAAAATGTGTTGAGGGAATGTTATTGGGTTGTTTTTGTTCTTATTTTTATTATGTATTTTATGTGTTTATATTGTAATTTTAACCATCCTGAGACCTGCAGGTATAGGCCATATACAGATTTTAACAACAGCAGCAACAGCAGCAGCAGCAGCAGCAGCAGCAACAACTTTCTAATGTGTGCTTCTTATTCAGATTTTGCAACCCAAAATGCCTTTACAAACAAAAGCTAATAACGGTTTGCTTTTAAGATTTCTTTAAATAGTACAAGTTTAATTTTCCTCACCACGAGATATCTGGCAAGAACAGAAAGTACTTCTACTGTCAATGGTTCAACTATAGAAGGGCAGATAAAGCAGTCCTTAATACTGTAGTTCAGTACAGTTAACCAAAGGAAGATAGCAAAAAGACACATTCATCAGTATCATCCAATTTGAAAATGGCTTTTAGTCAAAGCACAGCAGCAACAAAATGAAAGCCTTTCTCTGTTTGACTCAACCGCTAAGACAAATGTCAAATGAAAATTTGAATTTGCAAATAGATTTCATTAACTTTATATGTTCATAAATGTGCAGTGGTCTTAACAGGCTGCTTGGGCACACTAGGAAAATACAGTAAAAATGGGTTCTTGCCCCTCTTAAGAGTGTTGTGCACTGACCCTTCTCCGCTTAAGATATTCTCACTTTGTTGCTAGGCAGACTGTGGGACTGGTCCAGTGTTGTGCAGAAGCAACGCCGGTCACACCACACAGTATATGAGACCAGCTCCAAGACTGAGAAACCAAAAAGCATGAAAACGTTGCCTATATTTAGGATCCTTTCTAAGGGTTCTCAGGCTTCTTGTTTGGCCTGGGAGAGTGAAAGGAAGGGTTCTGGGAAAACAGGAAGAGCAAAGCAGCAATTCACTCCCAACGGTTCTTTTCCCTGTTATTTTTGTGCCATAAAATCTCAAGCAAACTTTTGACAGTCCTTTCAAAAAGAAGGGGTGGGATGTTTGCATAGTCCCTCCTTTTCTGCAAAGGAGAGCAAATACCTGGTTGAAAAATACCCACTAAAGAGGCCTGCAGTTGTCCATCAACATCCACAGAAGATCTGGAAAGTGGGGTCTTACCAATTACTGCCTGTCTGCTCTCATTCAAAGGATGGCTTTCTTGGGAATCCATCTTCTTTCTAGAGGCTTTAACCCACCAAGGCTCATATTTCAACAGATGGTGAATAGTCTCATCTTCAAAGAAGTCAGCACTGGAAAGATAAAAGGATTCCTGCATCACGGTCCAAAATTAGGCGTTCGTGTATGTTGCCAAATAATCATAATACGTAATCATCATTTCCTTAAGCTACTCAGTAGCATGCAAAGGTTTACACACCTAGAGGTGCAGGACTCCCAGACCCACCTGAGATTTGTGTATCTTGCTACAGGGATGATGCAAGTGAGTTATATCTTGCTCACCGGAATGGAGGATGGAGAGAAGGGAAGGTATAGACTTTTGTGCAGGTTTAAATGTACCCCACCTTACAAAGTTAGAGAGTCACATCTGTTGTTCCACCCACCCCTTGTCCGTGCAACTAAATAGCGTAACACAGTGAGATATGGGAGAAGGGCTGTAGCTGTAGACCACATGCTTTGCCTGGAAAAGGACCCAGGTTCAATCGCCAGGTATTGCCAGGTAGCAGTGGTGACTGCAGTTCATTGAGACGAGTAGGACACAATGCAGGCAGACAGAACAGATGTAGTCCACTAATCCTAGTTTCATCCCCATCATCCTCCCTGCCAAGTTCTACAAGAGCAACATTGGGACTCTCCATCTATTGCGAGACACAATGGAGTGTGCCTCACGGGGTGAAGTCAAACCACTGGAGAATCACAGTCCCTGCTGTGGCTTGCAGAGATTGGTAAATCATAACTGCTGCCTCCTGTGTTGTTTCTGCTGCATTAGCAGCAATGAAGTGAACTCTCTGGGTGCAGCCTGGGCGGTCTGTATGGAGGTCCAGGGTTGCCCAGATGACAAGACTTCCCTCTTGGCCTCGCTGATGTGGTCCAAAATAAATCAGAGCAATACGTTTGGCACCAGCTTGGCTGCAGGAGTTGTTGGAAGGAGGCATGCCAGGCACCATCCAACCATCTTAGGGACTCCACTAAGGAAGGGTTTACTCCTCAGCCTTTTCTCCTCCCAAAGATGTCATGCAAGGCGCGGGTACACTGGGACGAAGGGGGAGGAAACAAGCAGGCAGTGTCACCCTGAGCTGCTTTTAAGTAAGAAGGCAGACAGGTGGGAGCTGGCTGAGGGGGAGGGACTAAGGTTGGTGGAGCAGTGTCTCATTTGCCTTAATGAAGCAATCTCTACTGTCAGTATTGTTGACAATACTGGAATAAATGGACCAGTGGACTTGATATAGAGGCAACTCTTATGTAAGTTATTATCCCATTTCTCAAGGGCGAACAGCTTAAATATGCAGCAAAAACCCTGTTTCTTTCTCTTGGCCGGAGTGGATCAATTGCACCTATTACACCTTAGAGTACTATACTCAAGATTATTATACTCTATTATGTGGAGTAAGAAAGGTAATTTCAGGGAGTCGTGGGGTTCCTTATGTTGACGACGTTCTGCAGTCGTTGTGTCTACTCAGCTTGAATTTCAGCTGGCCTTTGGCTCTAACAGAGTCTCAAAAAAACCAAACCTGAATCATATCAGTCATCAGCTTCCGTGGCAATTATACATAAAGAGAGTCTAAAATGCAGCATAAGGCAAAATAGTAGGAGATACGGAAACCACTCATTTCCTATTTAAAAAATAGGCCTCTTCGATCCACTTTCTATTAAATGATGACAAGATGGTCAACCAGATATTGCAGAAACACGCCATGCGCAAGGACTTACAGGTAATGATCAGGATCGAATTTGGCATCTTCTGCTGCCAGCCTTTTCTCTCTGCGTTCAGCTGCAGAGGTCACGTCTGGATTTTTTATATCGATAACATCATTAAGTTCATCCTGCAAAGACAACCACAAAAGAATAAGCAAACCTGTAAAGGTGGGGGGGTTGACTTTGTTAAAGGTTTAGGCAGAAAACTTGTGAGGTTCATCTCAAATCAAAGCTGACAATGGAGACTCAGATGGTATCGGGGTAAAGGGAGTCTACACCCAGCAATAGCACTATGCCCAGCTATGGACTGAGTTTGCCTGGCCTCAGTCGCTTGCATTCCAAGTAAACTTTGATTGAATTTATGCAACGAGCTCTACATGAGGCTGCTACTGAAAATGGTCAAGGAGCTTGAGGTCCGAGGGAACCACCTCTGCTGGTATCTGCCCACCCGTGGTTATAGCCTATTTGAAAATATTGCAAGCTCCCGCAAGAAGCACCTTCACATTACTCCGAAACAAGTTTGAAAACAGGAGCCTGAGAACAAGTATTTACAGAACCCCACTGCTTCCATAATGAAGAAAGCTGAACAGTTCATTTAACACAATACTTCCATTTCCTGCATTGTATTCTTCACACAGAACTGCGCTGTGTGGATTCTTCTCTTTGCTTATACAGAGAAAATCATGTATTTTTTTTCCAAAACCAAAAAAACAAAAACAAAAAACACACACACACAAGCAAGCCTGCAGCACCTAGGAAGAGACAACACGATTCTAAGATTTATATTTAACTGTCATTTTTCATCGTTACAGGCTGCTAAGCATCTTCCACAAATTTCAACTGAAGACACACTATCTCAGACCATGGAAATCCCCTGAACATTGGCATCCATCTGTCTAGAGAGACAATGGAGTGAGTATTTGGGGGTGAAGTCAAATCGCTGCATTAGCAGCACCAAAGCGACCTCCCAAAGGTGCAAGCCTGCTGACTGGCCGGAGCCTCCTTATGCTAGCGCCGCCACCACCAGGAGGCTACTTCAACCTTCCTTCCCCTCTGAAGCAGGATGTGAAGGAGCTGGACACTGGAGGAGTGCCACATTCAGCTCCATGCTTTCTGGACATGGGTGGTGGGGGTGGCCCCCACCCCAAAGGTATTGGGGGATGCAAAAGGGCTCGGCCCCCAGGAGCTGGACCCCCTGCCTATAAGGCAATGGAGGTTTAGGATCAGAGTTTTCCTTCACCTAGATGGGCTACCTTCCCCTAAACGTGAAAATTTTGCATCAGGCCAATTACGCAATGCAAAATCATGCACAATTAAGCATCATGAACCCCAGGGGCACTCACGTGGGGCTTTATACAGAAATTCCATGGCGTCAGCAAAAAGGGCACTTACGATCAGAACGCACAACCTTTTGTAATGATTGCCACTTAATCATTGCAAGCGTTTGGATTCAAAGTTCTCACAAACGGAACTCCAGCTCAGAGTCTTCCTGCTAGACAACTAGAGTGGGAAGGCATTTTTCACTACCTCCTGCGGCGTCTTGCTCTCTGAAAAGCTGCTCCACAGGGTTCTAGGCTATGGGAGAGAACGCAGCAGAAAACAATGGAAGCAGCCTCCCTTTGCCTTATTCCATGGGACCTACTGCCAAAGTTAAGGACAGAGGATTTCGCTTTATAGGTTAAGGCTCACATTGTATGGGTTGTTTCAAATGGGCCACTGCCCAACCTCAAGGTGGTTCTGAACATATTGTTTGCTTATAAGAATGGATGGTATTCAACTAAGTTTCAACCCATTGATTTTAATGAGCGTGACTAAGCGGGCCCCAACTTCAACGGGTCTCCTATGAGTAAAACTTCGTTGAATGACATCACACATTTATTTGTGGAAGCCACCCAGATATCAATGTTTGTATGTTGGGTTTATTCCATTTCAATAGCAACACCATGAGGATTTCCTTCACGCTGATACGTAATGCGTTTCAAATTTCATTCTGGATTGGGGACTGAGGGAAGAAGCTATGCCTATTAGAAGAGTTGATGGGTTTGTTGTTTGTTTTTAAATACCTGAACATACCTGAAGACGTCTGAAAACTCCCGATTTCATATTTCCAAATCCATAGGTGCAAGGCGAACATAAGGGGCTGTCTTTGCTTTCCACATAAGGAGTCTGTTCAATTTCCCAGTCAAATTCTTCCTCTTCTTCCTCCTCCTCCTCCTCTTCTTCATTTTCAGCACCTGAAGTTTTGAGGTCAGGTGGTGGTGAGGGGAACAAAAAGGTAACAAATCTTCCTATCAGAAAATTTATTCTCAAACTCCACAAGGCACCACCAGAGCCCCCAGTTTGGAAACTGGAATTGTGCTGCTTCACCCTGCCTCCCAGATCATCCACACAGTGGAAGCCACTTTGATTAAGAGGGACAAGATTCATGAGGCCAGTGGGGTGGAGGCCCTAACCATGTCATTTAATACTGCGGGAACGTGTGCACCTTCACTTGGGGTACATACGCTACATTTGTTTGTGTGAAAAGACAGAGATATAAACCTAAGAACCAGAAAAACTGATATTGAGCAAAAGACAGGATTAGTACTTGGCCAACATCACACATAATTCTGCCCAGTTCACTATAATGAATTCTACTTTTAGGTTTATGATGAAGTATGTGTATATACTCCCATCTCCCCACTGATGCGTCTTCTATTTTCATGCGACTGCACACACACACCAGGGACCAGGAAGTGGTGCCCAGAAATGACAAGTGAGGTTAGTTCTCAATGGCGAGATCAAAGAGTGTGTTGGGCAATATATGGGAAATTAATAGTGGAGTAGGGGGGCTGAAAATAATGCCAATATATTTCACATCCGGCAACCAATGTGCCCCTTTGGTTTCAGATGGAGTTTGGTCAAGTACAGTGGTACCTTGGTAGTAGAACGCCTTAGTTGTAGAACAAATCAGCTCCCAAACGTCGCAAGTGAGTGTTCAGGTTTGCAAACATTTTTTTGGAAGCCGAACATCCGACGCAGCTTACACAGCTTCCAATTGGCTGCAGGAAGCTCCTGCAGCCAATTGGAAGCCGCACCTTGGAAGCCGCACTTTGGTTTTCAAACCATTTCGGGAGTTGAACGGAATCCCAGAATGGATTAAATTTGAGAACCAAGGTACGACTCCAGAGTTAACACTAAACACATTCCTTAGTGTGTTAGTGTTGATCTGGCTCCTTCGATCTCAATGATCTCCAGGCATGGTTGGACTACAACTCCCAGCAGCCCCCAGCCAGCATAGCCAATAGTCAGGCATAAAGGGAGCAGCCAAAACATCTGGGCAGCACTTGATTGGGGAAGGCAATACAGTGGTACCTCGGGTTACAGACGCTTCAGATTACAGACTCCGTATACCCAGAAATAGTACCTGGGGTTGAGAACTTTGCCTCAGGATGAGAACAGAAATCACGCGGCGGCAGCGGGAGGCCCCATTAGCTAAAGTGGTACCTCAGGTTAAGAATAGTTTCGGGTTAAGAACGGACCTCCGGAACGAATTAAGTTCTTAACCAGAGGTACCACTGTAATAATAATTTTATTATTTCTATGCTGCCCATCTGACTGGGCCTCCCCAGCCACTCTGGGCGGCTCCCAACAGAATATTAAAAACATGATAAAACATCAAACATTAAAAACTTCCCTAAACAGGGCTGCCTTCAGATGTCTTCTAAAAGTCAAAAGGTTGTTTATTTCCTTGACATCTGATGGCGGGGGCGGGTTCCCACAGGGCAGGTGCAATTACCAAGGAGGCATAAAAGGCAGCTTCCTGTGTTTCTATGAACAACCAGAAGCATTATCAGCCTATGTAAAGCATTAAATTCCTATTTGCAGAAAGCAGTGCAAGTAAAACATCTAGCACATAAATTCATCTTTCTCTGAACTTACAGAGGGAGGGAGAGAGAATGAACCCGTGAGCCGTTTTTTAAATTAAAATTATACAAACCCATCTCTTCGACTAAAGGTTTTGCAGATCTGGATTTCTTTGGCGCTAACAGAGCTGTCAACATGTCTAGCCCATCAAAATTCTCTCCGGGAACTTCCTTGGGAAGATGGATTGTAAAAACCCCTTGAAAGAAAAGGATTGAGTTAACAAAAGGCACTTCCCCATTTATCCGGATAAGCTACTACTAGGGTGTTTCGAAAAGCAATAGCAAAACTGCTGGCCAGACTATACTAAAAAACCAAAAACAAAACCCTGCCTGCTCTCATTTTTGCTTGCATTACTCCAGGGACAGAGGCCTGCAAGTGCAGCGCCCCCATTCATTAATGATTTCACACATTCATAAAGCAGAAAAAGAGGAGCACGGGTGATTACAGCTCATTTTCAGCTCCCATCCTAACTTACAAAAGGAGGATCTGCACACCCTCCCAGTGGAAAGATTTGGAAGTCACACAAGATGCAGTTCCACATCTAGGCCTCATATATCTCAAAAAGGCCCCTCTTCAAACAGAACGAGGGCAAGTGGCTTTTGCTTTCTTCCACCACCTTCCATATTGCAAGTGAGAGGCACAAATTAAATACATCTACTACATGTCTTGCTCGATCAGTCCAAAAACCCAAGCTAAGAAGATGGGGAACAGACACAAAACATTCTTCCCAAATTCATAATTTGTCGTGCAACACATTCCACTAGATAAGGCTGCGCTTGACGGTCTCTGCACAAAGAAAATTGTGACATGGGAAGCATCGTTGTCTTCCGTCTAGCAAACCTAAACCATCCCACTTATCTCTACGAAGCAAAACATTCTGAAACAACCAGGACAGCTATCTTCATTTTATACTACTGCTAGAAGTGGAAGCAAATGTAACAGCAGAGGAATCTTGCATATCACACTTTCTTCCAAATGAAGATATTTAATTAAAAAGAATTACAAACCTGTGTCGTCATACGATGCTTTCTCTCTCCCATCCTCGACAATTCTTCCTGGAAGAGCCAATCTGGGAGAGGTGGAATTAAAGGCGTTTAATTACATATCTGATGCAGGGGTAAGGATAATAGGAAATCAGGGACTGGTTCAAGGCTTTAGAAAACCTCCTTCCATGTACACTTCAATGCAAAAGAAAGCCCAGTTGGAAGCTGTGCGATTTGAGTAAGGTAGTGAGAAGAGCAGAGAATGAAGGCAGAAAAGGACAGATTAGGTAAAAGGAGTTTGGATTTGATATCCCGCTTTATCACTACCTGAAGGAGTCTCAAAGCGGCTAACATTCTCCTTTCCCTTCCTCCCCCACAACACTCTGTGAGGTGAGTGGGGCTGAGAGACTTCAGAGAAGTGTGACTAGCCCAAGGTCACCCAGCAGCTGCATGTGGAGGAGCGGAGACACGAACCCGGTTCCCCAGATTACAAGTCTACCTCTCTTAACCACTACACCACACTGGTAACTGCCGTGTGCCTTGCAGAATGGTGAATGCATGACCTTAAGGCCCTATCCCCTCTCAAGTCCTGCCTACAGTCTTTCCTGCTTTCTCAATATTTTAATAAATACTAATTGTCCACTGAAAAGACTTGCTCAACAAGCTTGAGTGTTACTCCAGATGCCCATGCTGGTATCTAATATAGGAGAAAACCCGGGGGGGGGGAATAAAATTCAGAAACAAGAGCTAGTTCACATCCCACCTCAGCCATGAAATCACAAAGTGATAAGTCTCACCCCACCCTCTATAATAGAAATAATACTGGTGCCTCTTAAGGAGCTATTGCAAGAATATACTGAGTATGTATGCCAGGTGTTTTTAACATTCAAAATAACACTATATAAATGCCAGGGGTGTCATTTACAATGTGTGTATAGAACACATTCACAGAAAGTCTTCAGGGTGAAGTGTAAGCACACGGCTGAAACAAAACAACGTACTACAGCAAGCCTTGGGCTCATACATTCTATTTCTCCCTCTTCTGCACAAATAAGGAGGAAATCTGAAGTGTTCATTAATGGTTTGGAACAAACCAGTTTCTCATCTCATTTGAATACAGGCTATTGTAGTTTGCACAAAGCAGCTACATTAATAAGCCAGGGTTGTACCACTGTGGGTCCCAGGATAATTCTCAAAACAAACCACAGACTGAATTCAGCCAATATGTGATTCCAGAATGTATCCTATATTAAGGATTTTCTGTCTCTCACACACAAATGAGCAAACTCGCCCCCAGAAACACAGTGGGGAAGCGCTTATTAACACAATGTGACAAACAATACATAAGCAATTAAACTCAACCTAATGAAGTGATGTTACTTACCTGAGAAAGTACGGTTTCGCATAAAACTTGAACTCCTTCCCTTCAAAATAGACCTCAAACTCTGAAACTCGTGCATATGGTACTCTGATTGTTATTGTAAGAAAATCTGGATCCTGACTCAGTTCAAACGCTGGAGTTATCATGCTGAATACTGTTCACAAGCCAAAGGTGCTGCCTGAAAAATTATGTCATGGAAATAAAAGAATCACCATCTGAGCAAACATAAGAGAATATCAGTGACATATGAACACCTGAGTATGATAAATGGATTTCTGTTAATTAATTTTTCTAATTGTCCATTTACTGGCAGTCTAAAATAGTTTTGTAAATTTTATGAGGGGGAGATTCCCCCCCGCTTTGACTCCAGGGTGACTGCAGTGGGGCCCACCCCTCATCCTAAAATTGTAGGCCCCTGAGGCATCATATCTGGCACCATGAAAAGGCCTGAGGAGTCTAAAGCACAGGGCAACCATCTCAGAGACATCAAGAACACCACTTGTAATAATGCCGGTGATGAAGCAGCATGGTACAGGCCCAGACATCAGGGTCCAAATCTCATAAACACTACCCAATGTCTTTGGAGCACCCTCCCAGGCTGCTCTACCTTTTCAGGGGAAAATACACAAGGAAACAGTAACTTTGGGGAGATGTAAAGCTATTGGGCAATCCATTTTTGGGTTCCATGAGTTGTGCAAGTGGCAGAAGAGACATTAATGACTATCAGATCAAAAGGAGATGGTAGAATAGATCTTTCAATGGGCTGGGGTTAATGTTTGAAGTGTGTATCCTGTGTGAATTAAAGCAAAGGTTTTATTCAAGATTTAGGGACTTTACTGAAAGTTTGAGGGAATATGCTTTGAGGCTTAGGAGCGGTTAAATGACTGGAAGTAAGTAGGACTGAGGACAAAGAGCAGTTGCTCAAGAAAAAGTCTATGGAAAGAGTGTAGGATGCTGCTATTCATAGGGAATTAAAATTGCCTCTTTGGCAAAATGGGAAAACACTTCCCCAGGGTTTTAAGGAGAATGCCATCAAGCTTCTGAGAAATCATAAACAAAATACAGCTTTTACACAGCAATGTTGTCAGGAGCATGACTGCATCAGAGCCTTCCGGATGGGAAGATTGGAAGCTAATACCTTGAAGAAGACACTAGATGGAAAATGCTGACATGACTGATATGAGTAATCAATGAAAGTATGTTGGGGAAAAAGATACAGAGGGAGATGCAAAAGTTCAAGCAGATCTGAAACAAGAGTTTATGAGAGCTAGGGAATGGAGTCACAGCACATGACAGAGTGGAAAGAGCCACTGGGCCCAGGATAGATTTTATGATGACAGGCCTATTTGCCAAAGATGAAGGAAAGTAGGGCACACTGCAGAAACAGATGATGTTATCAAGAGTGTTCATGAGTTGGAGATGTTCAATCAGGCTCTGGAGCAGCTGGTGAGACAGTGGAGCTAGAAGAAGAAAGGAAGCAGTACAATACACCCGTGTTCAAGCACATTTAGTATAGTAGGTCCCATCTGCACTATACATTTAAAGCAATATCACACCACTTCAAAGAGTCATGGCTTCCCCCAAAGAATCCTGGGAACTGTATTTGGTTAAAGGTGGTGAGAGAGAGTTGATAGGAGACCTCTGTTCACCTAACAGATCAACAATTCTACAGGAATTCCTGGGGGATGCTCTGAGGCGGCCCAAAGCACATTTCAGTGTGGACACCTACAGTTACTTCCCCCCCACCAGCTTGTTTATTTTTGTTGTATACAGATGCCCTCATCTGTGCCACGTATCCACAGGGAGCTCTGAGACACGTATGATGCACTGGAATCTCAGATGACACTCTCCCATTTGCCTGGGCATATGATTTGCCCTGGTTGAAAGCACATTTTAGTGTACAGACCCCCCAGTTACTTTTTATGGTATTATGATGCCATCACACATTTATGAACATTTCACAGCCATGATTATTTTAACTGAATAACATTATTGTTGGGACAAAGGAAGGAGACCCCTGTTCATGTACATATATATAAGCCAAGGGATATCCTAATATTTATTATTATTATTATTAAATGAATAAATTTGTACACCAGCCTTCATCCAAAGATCACACGGATGTTCACAACATAAAAATACAAAATGAGAGCATACAAACTTTAATTGGGAGTTCAGGGATACATGAGCTTTACTTTTTTTTAAAGTGCTTCAGATCTTCTAGCAAATAAAAAACTTGGAACCACTAACTAACCTCAGCATCGCCAGCCACATTTTTATTATGTGAATTCCACAAATAGGATATGAACCCAATATCACTTTCCCCATTGGCGACTCCCCTTCCCCACACCAGGAACTGATATATTCAGAGGCATTGCTGCCCCTGACATCTATCGTGAGTTGGGAGCCTCAAATAAAGCCTGCTTCCATTTCACAGAGAACACAGCAAACATGTTTCTAAATGGTGAGTTACTCAAGAGTCCGCAGTAAGGTACAACCTGCTGCTTTTACACACTTACTCTCTGACACACACATCAATGGGCATACCTGTCGAAAAGCCAAGAGCTAAACACACATGGTGCCATCCCAACACAGGGTGGCATAAAAGACTGCTGCTGCTGCTGCTGCTGCTGCTACAAATTCCCCTCCAGCTCCCTTTAGCCATGGATAAGTGTGTGTGATGTTTATAAGTGTGTGGATATGTGCGCGCATGTCTCTGTGTATGTTGGTGTGTGCATGAGTGTATATCTGTGCATGTGTGTCTGTACGCGTATTACTGTCGGCTACAGCCTCCATTTCCACACAGCTCCATCCCCGCTCTAAAAGACTACGAAAAACGCCAGGCTCGGCAACCAGCCCCGGCCAACACTCACCCACCGACCCGACCGAAGACCACGCACTTCCACACACGCGCTGGCAGAACCCGTCTTCCCCTACCGCCCACGGCCCGCCCATCCCGATGGCGCATAGGCTTCCAATTGGCTGGAGCCTGCGGTCAACATCCATTCCCTCCAATGGAGAACAAGGGTCTCTCGGAGGCGGGCCGCTTGGGAGGCCGGGCTACAAGCTCATTGGCAGGAGCTGTCGGCTCGCGCCCATTCACAAATCGCCGAAAATGTGAAAAAAGAGGGCGGTGCGGCGGAGTGAGCGTCACGTGACAGGAGCCCGGCGAGGGAAAGGAATGTCGCCATCCCGCGCCTGCGCCTTCCTTTCGGTTCGCTATAACGGGCGATGCGAGCGAAGCGGGCAGCTGCACGTGACTTTCCCTAGTTCTGTGTTTGCCGCTGGCCACGCTGCAAAGAGGCATTGGTTTTTTTTTCTTTTTCCAATGCAAATGCTTGGGTTGGCTTTCCAGTAATCTTCCAATTAGCTAATACTACTGAATGGCAGCGAAGCTGCATCCTCAGTTCCTAGTTCCTTACTTTGCTCAAAACTTCGAAGAACTAAGAAGCTCCTGTATCCCCACATTAAAGTCCATATGCCCCCGAGCCACCAAATAAATATCATTAATGTGCATGATTGGGTGGTGGGCTCTTTTAAAAAAAAAATCCCAACAATCAAAATTATGCTTGGGAAACACTCTTAAATGCATGATGACAACGTAGCACCATTAAAAAACTTAAGTAACGGGGTGCCCATCCTAAAACATGCTTTGGGCCAGCATAAATCATACACCCGAGCAAATGGGAGAGGGTCCTCTACAAAATGCCAACCCAAAGTGCCCTACTGGCGCATAGTCGGTTTGTGGAAATCTGTGGGGCAGGGAATAAGTATCTGGTGGCATCCAGCCCCAAACATGCGTTGTTGTTGTTGTTGTTGTTTAGTCGTGTCCGACTCTTCGTGACCCCATGGACCAGAGCACGCCAGGCACTCCTGTCTTCCACTGCCTCCCGCAATTTGGTCAAACTCATGCTGGTAGCTTCAAGAACACTGTCCAGCCATCTTGTCCTCTGTCGTCCCCTTCTCCTTGTGCCCTCAATCTTTCCCAACATCAGGGTCTTTTCCAGGGAGTCTTCTCTTCTCATGAGATGGCCAAAGTATTGCAGCCTCAGCTTCACAATCTGTCCTTCCAGTGAGCACTCAGGGCTGATTTCCTTAAGAATGGATACATGCTTTGGTTCAGCTCAAATCATGCAGCCAAACAAATGGCAGTGTCCTCTATACAGTCAAGGGCATCCTTGCAGACAATGATAGCCAAAATATGTAGGAAAAAATAAGTAACTGGGTGTGTCTCCGGTGCAAAATATGCTTTGGGCCAGCACAAATCATGCACCCAAGCAAGCAGGAGAGTGTCCTCTACAAGGTACCAACAGAACAGGCATCAGGCTATGAGTGTATGATCTCTGGTGTCCTGGAGGAGTCTTGACTGAGCTGTATGGCTGAAGTTCTAACACAATGGAAGCAAGTCCTGTTGAACTTGCTTGTTCTGAGAAAGAATGCAATAGGATTTAGGGTACACATTTTTCTGAACTTGCCAATGTGTTTAAAACTGGGCATATTCCAAGTTGTTGTTTAGTCGTTTAGTCGTGTCCGACTCTTCGTGACCCCATGGACCAGAGCACGCCAGGCACTCCTGTCTTCCCCTGCCTCCCGCAGTTTGGTCAGACTCATGTTTGTAGCTTCGAGAACACTGTCCAGTGTTTCCAGGGAGTCTTCTCATGAGGTGGCCAAAGTATTGGAGCCTCAGCTTCAGGATCTGTCCTTCCAGTGAGCACTCAGGGCTGATTTCCTTCAGAATGGATAGGTTTGATCTTCTTGCGGTCCATGGGACTCTCAAGAGTCTCCTCCAGCACCATAATTCAAAAGCACCAATTCTTCGGCAGTCAGCCTTCTTTATGGTCCAGCTCTCACTTCCATACATCACTACTGGGAAAACCATAGCTTTAAGCCTTTCTAATTCAGCTGATTGATAGATAGATACAGATCTCTAAAGAGGGGCAGGATTTGGGGAGTGTCATCTGTTTATATGCTTTTTTCCTTTTTCTTTTTTTACAATGCTACCCATTCTGTCTTTCAGGGGTATCTGTTGGGGAGGTTGAAAAGCTTTCACATTTGAGCAATGTGACAGGTACAAGTTGTTTTGAAGCACAGTGGGTATTTTGTTGAGCCTCTGGCACTTTTAAGTATCCTGCAAAGAAGGCTTTTATGGAACTAAACAGATATACTTTTCAAAAATAGCTACACCAACGACAAGATTGAAAGGGTTGTGGGGTGGGGTGGGGGTTTTTAGGCACACACACATAGTGGTAACTGTCAGGCTCCTGGCTTGTCAATTTGAAGATGCCTTGATACAGTTTGGTTTCATGTGCACTAAAACAGATGCAACTTACAGGATAACAAAATAATTGCTGAAGATACATTTTCACATGGTTTCCCAGCCACATGCTGGTGGACTACATTAAAGTACCCTCACCAGTCTCCAAATGTGATGGAAATGGTGTTTCTTCAGAGATTAGAATATAAAATATCTCTGAATACTGCTGGGTGCAAGGGAGCATACTTTTTCATCCTTGCATTTACTAGAAACCAGATTGTGTGTGTTTCTTTCTTTTCTTTTTCTTAAGCTTCTTCTCTTCTGTGCCCTGAGGGACACCCTGCTAATCTAATGTTCCTTAACGTGATCTTGTTTTCCAGGTCATTGATTTAATTTCTCAGGACTTTATAGGCTATAATAGTTTCACTGATAATAGTGTTATGACCATCCAATGATATCTTTTTTATTTCCAGAGTAGCTCAGTCTTTATCCAAATCCCTTGCTTAATCCCTACAGAGAGAATATGGAAAGCTGAATTGTTCAGTTCCATGTTAATTTTTAGAAGGAGGTCTAGCTACTCTTAAGTTCAGTAAGTTCCTTGCATGAGGCATAATATATTCTTGAAACGTTGCCCTTTATTCACTTTCAGTATTCCCTTCTATCAAATGTCAGGATTGTCTTACAATAAGTGGGGGGAGTAAGAGAAGAAAGAAGTTATTTTCATTCACTTGCCATAATATTTATAGCCCAATTTTGTGCTTAGCTTTTAACTAACAGAGCTACCCAATATTCACGGTGTGGGTGGGGGGTACACCACAGCTTCCCCAGCCAAAGGGCCACCATATTCAATGTGTTCTGAAGTCAGGAAGGAGGAGGAAACACTCATTGCCAGGAATTACAAAAACAGCATACATGCACTCAATTTCCCTGGAAACTCTGCAGCCTCCACAGGCCACCCACATACAGAAGAAGCCAGTGGGCCTGCAGCAACAGTGAAGTGACCCCAAAACACCCCTGGCAACACCACACACACACAAGACTGTGCTCCTGTGCCCCCACTCCAGCAGCGCCAGTGGGCCAGCCCAGTGGTGTAGTATGGGGGGGTGCCACGGTGTGTGTGTGTGTGCTCCAGCCACAAAATTGTTAGTGGAAGCACCCAGTGCTGCCTAAATACAGCTGTGCGCTTCCCTTGGTGGGCTCAATTGGAAACAGCTTCTCCATGCGATCCAGGAAGTGGCCTCTCCAGACAACAGAGCAGCTCTTTTTTTTCTTATCTCTGTGGCTGCAATTTGGGTGACACGGACGACGCCAGTAGGTGTTGAATCCATATGCAGACTCCGTCTGTTTCCCTCCCTCGCCCCACCTCCCCTCTGCGCAGCCCCGGGTGCAGGCAACCCATGTTATGCCACTGGGCCAGCCAGCAGCAAGCTCAGTACTGCCAGCCATCAGGCATCCCTACAGGCAGGGAATTGATTCCTCTCATGCTACTCAGGAACACCCTTTTGGAACATAAAACACAACAGAACATGTGCAATGATTACAGTGCTGGACCTTGGAGGCCATGGTTCAAAGTCCCACTCAGCCATGAAGTTCACTGGGTGACTTTGAGCCAGTCATCCACCCTACCGCACAGGGTTGTTGTGGGGAGGAGGAGAACAACTGTGGCCGAAGCCTTGAGCTCCTTGTTGGAAAGGTGGGGTACAATGCAATTAGATAATAAACACAGACAGCAGGATGGCTGAAATGGAGCAGGATCATGGACTACATAGAGAAAGAGTGTAACTCAACCCTGCATCCTGCACTCTTTAAGTTCATACTCCCATGAGGTCATGTCTGAAGAAGAAAGATTCTCACTGGAACCAAAGTAGACATTACTCCGTATTTGTGACTGCCACCAAATCCAACCATCACATAGCTTCCCGCTCCCATAGTCTCTGGGAGAGCATACAGTGGTACCTCAGGTGAAGAGCTTAATTCATTCCAGAGGTCCGTTCTTAACCTGAAACTGTTCTTAACCTGAGGTACCACTTTAGCTAATGGGGCCTCCTGCAAAGTTCTTAACCCGAGGTACTATTTCTGGGTTAGCGGAGTCTGTAACCTGAAGCGTCTGTAACCCAAGGTACCACTGTATTCATGTCCTGACCTCATAACATGGAGCTGAGGAAAGGAAATAAACCATGTTGTGATATCAGAAAATGGGTGTCCTGTCCTAAGTCCTATCTACCACAGCCAACATGACCAGTGATCAGGGATGATGCGAGTTGCAGTCCGACCACCTTTGAAGGCCCACAGATTCCCATCTCTGTTATGGAGGGGGAAGAGGGAGCTAAACGCAGCCGCCATTTTCAGTGGGAGCTGCCAATTCAGTGTAATGTCCTATATTTTTGTGGTGACATGAAAAAGTCATATATTTCTCATCTTACGCCTCTGCAGTAATAGACTAACAGCCTAATTATGGGATCAATCATCTTTATCAGCTGCTTTAAAAAAATGATGTATCGCTAATGCCTTTTACACTGGACTGATTCCCATGTTAAATACTTTTTCCCATCCTGTTTCTGACGATGATAAGATCATTACTGTCAATTTGTAACTAGGCTGATGTTACATCACTTCACCTGTTTTATGTTATTGGCTGTAATCCACAAACCAGAGAAGTTGGCGTACTTTACTTTGAAACAATTAATGCATGTTTTATTTTCTTTTTCAGGTACAGGAATTATTCCTGCAAACTCTTGTCGTGACCCTGATAGCTTGATCTGCAGGCATTAGCAGCTGATGTTGCTAATTTCC